GTAAGGAAGAATGTTCTTTATTTTTGGGGGGTTCTTAAGCAATTGGTAGTCCAGGGTTCATTTGGTCCACAAGGGACACATCTGTTTGCAGGACTGGCAGATCTGAGGATCCCGGATTTCAGGTGTCGCTGAAACCTAAACCCTACACCCTGAACCCAGAACCCTAAACCCTAAACCCTAAACCCTAAACCTCCGGGCCCCCGACGTTGACGTAAGCACCCGAAGCCGTCTGGCCCAAGAAGAACAGAGGAACGAGCTTTGGGGAGATCACCTCCAAGGGATGCCGAGCTGCTTCCCAAAGATTCGTGGGTTTAGGGTTTAGGGTTTAGGGTTTAGGGTTTAGGGTTTAGGGTTTAGGGTTTAGGGCTACCTGTAGGGGCCAACCCTCGTGATAAATTGGGTATGAAGGGCCCTTCATTCGGTTAAAAGCCCTACCGAGTTAGGACATATTTCGCATACCTAAAGCTAGTATAGTGAGGGGGCCGCTACTTGTACAGTGCCCGTCTATAAGATGAAAAAAGAGCGAGAGCTTCACTCAACATGCCTAAAGGCGTTTTAGAAACAAGTTTCCTCAGCTAAAGAAGAGGGTCTAGTGAGTGCAGCATTGGATGCTCTGTTAAAGGCTCCGGGAAGTTGACTGAGGATGTGTCAGCGTTTGCCGGGAGTCCCTCGGCCTGACATACCTTGGGGAGCAAATAAGCCCTAAACAGGTTCAGGGTCTTATTAGGCTTCATATGCCCCTATAGGGATTATCGTGGTGCAGGGTATACGGGTATTTAGTCCGCCGACCCTGGCGGCGTGTTGGATGGGAAAAGGAGGTGAAAACCTCCTTACTGCGGGGGGGGCGGGGGGGGCGGGGGGGGGGAGGGGGGGTACCCGGGGGTACCCGGGCAGCTTTTCCATGGAGGGCCAGGCCACCCACACCGCATAAAACTCACGGACCATAAGCGGGTTTCGCACAAGACATAGGGGCCCTGTGGGAAAAACCCGGCCCGCCCTACCCCCCCTACCCCCACCCCTACCCCCCCCCCTACCCCTCCCCCCCAACCCCCCCCTACCAATTGATGGGGCTGCTGGCCTTCAAGCTGGCTTCAGCTCCTGTTTGCGTCCCAACGTTTCACAGAGGCTCAAGCACATCAACTTTTTTGGCATCCTTTGAGCTGACGAGCGCGTTTAAACCTTTCAACTATGCTCCAGCGGGGTCGGCGGCTTGAGCCGGAGGCTCTTAAATCCACAAGGTAGGGCAGCCCGACTTCCCCTGACCTCCTGGATGCTTCCATCTTGATACTTATACCCCAATAGTAGGATCCTGATTTTTCTGTGGTTGTTGGAAGTGAGAGCCGCGCGCCGGAATTTTACCGAATTTTGGAAGGTGCAACCCTCAGCTCGGGAATCCCAGCATCCTCTCGACTGACCACCTTCAAAACCTCCCCTCTCACCTCCACCACCCCATCCCCTAAACCCTAAACCCTAAGCCCTAAACCCTAAACCCTAAACCCTAAACCCCAAACCCTACACCCTAAACCCCACCCCCCCGATTCCCGCCGGGGCACCCCGAAGAACTGCGCCGACGCCGAGGCGACGGAACCAGCCACGGCGCCCACTGCGGCGCCCAGCGCCAGGAACTCAGTGGCAGACTTTGAGGGGTCTGGGGTCTAGGGTTTGGGGGTTATAGGGTTTGGGGTTTAGGGTTTAGGGTTTATAGGGTTTGGGGTTTAGGGTCACCAGGACTTAGGACATACCCCGATAGGGACTGTAGTAGTAGAAGGTTATATACTCTACTAGGGAGTATAGTAGCATCAGGTTTATATATCCCAGTAGTGGTTATGCTAATACATACTTCTCTACCCTAATAGTGGACTTCTAAGGAGCTTTGTAAAAGCTCAAGGCCCGGGCAGGGGCTCTCCAGGGCTATTCCCTAAACCCTAAACCCTAAACCCTAAACCCTAAACCCTAAACCCTAAACCCTAAACCCTAAACCCTAAACCCTACCTAAACCCTAAACCCGGTGGGGGACCACGCCAAAAACCGCGTGGCCGGTGGCGACCTCCAGCACCACGGTCCAACCAACGACTTCCAACAGGGTTTAGGGTTTAGGGTTTAGGGTGTAGGGTGTAGGGTTTAGGGTTTAGGGTTTAGGGCTTAGGGCTTAGGGCTTAGGGTTTAGGACCCTAAACCCTAAACCCTAAACCCTAAACCCTAAACTATCAGGGGGCTCTACCTCGGACCCCTAAGGTTGTACCCTTGGGTTTGGGGACCCGTGTTAACGATCCTCTAAGGCAATATATTTGCCATCTTCAGCGTATTCAGCGAAACTTTTAGGGCCCAGAAACCAACCCTTTTAACCCCCCCAAAAACCCTTTTAACCCTATAACCCCTGTAACTCTAACAAACCCTACTTGGTAGCCCAGTAACCATATCATAGAAAGGGTACCCTTTTTGGGTTGGTTACTTTCGAAGGCCTTGAACCCAAGAAAAGAGCAAAAGGGTACCACTGGGCTACCAAGCCCATAAACCCTAAACCCCATAAACCTTTCCAACCCTCTAAACCCTGTAAACCCAGCAAACCCTATAAAGACCCCAATAAAAAACCCTATAGAGACCCCATAAAACCCCAGAAAAAAAAAAAAAAAAAAAACCCTCAACCCTCAACACCGTGCTGGGCGCGGAACAGCCGCCCGATTGCCGGCACGGGAGCCGATGGCGGCGGCCTCGGGTCGTGCAGCGCTCTCTTTCGGGGGTTTGTGGGGTTTCTGGGGGTTATGGGGGTTATGGGGTTTATAGTAGGGTTTCTAGGGTTTATAGGGGTTTATAGGGTTTATAGGGGTTTATAGGGTTTGTAGGGTTGTTAGGGTTTATAGGTTTAGGGTTCAGGGTTTACCGGAGGTATTTAGGGGCTGCCTTCTGGACCACATGAACAGTCAAAGCTTGAGTTCGTGGTGCATATACCCTCATCGGGATTACAGTAGTAGATGACCCCAAATTTGGCTTAAGTGCTTTGAACCCGAAAGCCAAAGCCTGAACAAAAACACTTGGCCTCAACCCCCGAGACCTAAACACTTGGCACCCTAAACCCTCGACCCTAAAATTCTCCCTAAACCCTCCACCCCTAAGACCTAAACACTTGGAACCCGAAACCCTGGACCCTAAATCCTCCCTAAACCCTAAACCCTAGATCCGTAGAGCTCTACCTACTTACAAGTCTACTCAGAAGCCATCAGGGGGGTTTCGGGTCACTGAGGCACGGGCGCTAAGCACGGCCACCAGCAGGGCGCCGACGAGCATGGACATGGCCAGCCGCACCTGGCAGTCGTTGTGAGCAGCTCCTCCTAACAAGGGTTTAGGGCTTGTAGGGCTTGTAGGGCTTATAGGGATTATAGGGATTATAGGGATTATAGGGATTGTAGGGACTATAGGGTTTACATAGGGTTTAGGGTTGAAGGTTTATCTAGGGTTTAGGGTTTAGGGATGTTTAGGATGACCCCAAACACACCTTGAAGGCCCTAGGCCATGCAGGTCATCATCCCGGCCACCTACATACACCAAGCGAACCCCCTTTCTTGCTTGTTGAAGGGGAACTTTAAGCCTCTGAAAAAATAGAAAGCAAGGGTATTATTGCGGAAACCCTAGTTCTTTGCTGAACATTGTACCGACACATCCAGAAATTAGAGGCGTCCCGAGGCCAGGGTTCCGAGGCCAGGAGAGTCCATAGCCGCGTTTACAGGACGAGCCGAGGAAACTTGTGAAGCTGCGGGCTTTCTTGTTTAAAATAAGTACCTTATAGACCCAGTTCGAACGAGTTGAGGTGAGTTGGGCGCCATGCTGCGGGCAAACGCCTCGGAACCACACATGTATTCTTCAGCTTCCCCATGAGTGCTGGCTACGACAGGAAGCCTACAGTCAAAGGTTAGGGTTTAGGGTTTAGGGTTTAACCCCAAGCCCTAAACCCTAAAGTCAAAAACTGTCAAAGCTCTTGTAGGCTCTTGCCATATCACCGAATTGGAGAGCAGTATGACTCAGATGTTACCTGGCAGCCCTACATCCCTGCTGAAAACCCTAAACCCTGAAACCCCGAAACCCTGAAAGCCAAAACCCTAAACCCTAAACCCTAAAACCCTAACTCCTAAGCTCCTAAGCCCCTCAACCCCCTAAACCCCACACCCTGCTGAAGGCCTGGTAAACTTTCCGGAAGCCGTAGTGTCGGTCGAAGTAGGGGTCCAGCCTGTTGCTTCTCACGGGGCTGAACCCTAAACCCTAAACCCTAAACCCTAAACCCTAAACCCTAAACCCTAAACCCTAAACCCTAAACCCTAAACCCTAAACCCTAAACCCGAAAACCCTAAACCCTAAACCCTAAACCCTACGGGCTGTTGGGGCCTCGTTCGACTCTATGGCGCCTTAAGGGCTTTTTTGGGGTGTTCGGGTTTTGCGGCTAAGGGCTTTGCAGGTACCCTAAACCCTAAACCCTAAACCCTAAACCCTAAACCCTAAACCCTAAACCCTAAACCCTAAACCCTAAACCCTTAACAGAAGTACCAGTGCTTGGCTTCGGCTTTCGGGGGGGTCACATGGTGGCACCGTCTCTGAAGGCTTTTCTTTGTTGGCTCAGCTCATGGGCCTTGGAGGCCTATAGGGCTTTAGGGTTCAGGGTTTATAGGGCTTAAGGGTTAAGGGGTTAGGGTTTAGGACGATGAGAAATTCGCAAACGACAATCTCCATCTAGCCGGCTTCAGCCATGAGACTTTCTACTTTTAAGTGCCTCTTGTGGGCTTTTCTAGGGTTTATGGATGAGGGGTTTCGCCATCAGGATTTGCACAACCCCACCAGAATACAAAAGAACCCCGAATTAAAAGGCAGTCAACCGATAGTTATATCAATATTATTAGTATTATGATTTTCATTTTCATCATTATAATTATGATGTCTATTGCTTTTATTTATATTCTTACATCCCTATTTATAGTTCCTTAGGCCAATGCAGATGACTCATATGGACCCACCTAAGCCTCCCCGTCGCGACACGTGAAAGACATCCTTGCTCGAGCAAGTGATCCCGACAATCTAACGGCAGTTGCATGGTCCACGAGGGTTTAGGGTTTAGGGTTTAGGGGCATGGTCCCTTCATGTGGACGCTTACAAGGGGATACCCTTCCATATCCCAAAAATCCAAAGCCCATACTTCAAGAAGCCCTTAAAGAAGGTAAGGGACCAATTTAAGGGACCATGCCCTTAATACAACTGGGACCGTATACCCTATTGTACCACTTCAATCCCTATCAGGGCAAATGCACCCTAAACCCTGAGCCCCAAAACCTCTGCTGCCATAATTCTACTAGGGCATGTATGATAAGAACCCACCCAAACCCTAAACCCTGAACCCCCCGACTTATAAACCCCAAACCCGAACCCTAAACCCTAAACCCTAAACCCTCAATCCTAAACCTTTGTAAAGTTCATTTGGCCCCTTTAGGATGACGCACAAACACGGCGGCTCGGCGCGCGTGCCAGGGCAAACACCAACAAAGGCGTCACGTAGACCGCAGCACACATCCTAAGCAAAAGCTACAAGAACTTTGGGTTTAGGGTTTAGGGTTTAGGGTCTAGGGTTTAGGGTTACCAAAGAAACCCTTCAAATTGGGATCGTATACCCTGTAATACTTTAATCCCTGCTGGGTTTATGAACCATAGGCCATAAACCCTTGCAGGGTTCACTTGGCCCACAAGGGAAAGGCATCAACTTCGTGCAGATTGTCCGATCCCAAGCGATAAGTTTACTCATCCCTGCCTCCGCCCATAATTACTACCAATTAAGACATCACCCTCTGCGGTAAACACCAAGATCATAGTCATCAAGAAAAAAGGTCCCTATTTTGAGACGCTTCGTATACTAGTTAGGGGAGTGGATTGAGCCTCCTCACGCCTGAGAGGCACTTGAGGGGACACCTCGTGCTGACTTCAGGAAGAGATGTGTGCCAAGCTACTGAGTCAACAGCCCAGAGGGCCTGCTTCTTGGGCCGTTCATGGTGGTCACATGCTCTCGACCTCTCAACTCTGGATCCCTGGGCCAAAGGGTGCACCCTAAACCCTAAACCCTAAACCCTAAACCCTAAACCCTAAACCCTAAACCCCACTGAGGAGCCCCGCCAGACGAAAAAGTACTTGTCCTGGAAGCGATCGCCCAAGTAGCCCGCCGCGGACAAGTAGACATTGACCTTTGGCTCTCTGGGGGGGCTTCGGGCTCATATATCCGAAGGGTTTAGGGTTTTGGGTTTAGGGTTTAGGGGTTTATAGGTGATGCAAGTATAATGTTAACGTCGCTTTCATAAACCCTCCCCAAACTTGTTTTGGTTTTGGGGGTTTGGAGGGGTCAAAAAAAGAGGGGGTGGGGGGGGGGGGGTCAGCTGTCAGGGTCTACTCTGCTTTGTCTTGAAGGGTTCCGCTTGCTCTAAAGACTGAGCCTCAGAGCTCTTTCAAGCCAGCTCAGCTGAAAAGTCTTCTCTGCAATGGAAATCTTAAGCCATTTTCAGTAGAATTTTGCATTCCTGGCCAGAAAAATATTGCAGTTGTCACCCCATTATTATTCTCACCGGACCCCCTATACAGACTTGTTTATGGATTTCGGCCCGGAAACCTCCCGTAATGGAAAGTAGTCTTCGGCTGGGCCCGCTGGCCCAGCGAATATTGCAATTACCACCCCATTTATAGATGTGAGGTTAACATTAGTATTTAGGGCTTCGTTCAGGAAATATAGGGCTACCTGGGGGACGAACATGAACCCATATACCCTAGAAGGCCCGTCAGGGCAGATGGCATAGCAGGGTTTAATGAGGGTTATGAGGGTTTAAAGGGTTTACGGCCCTCTTTGCTTGCCAGCTTTGTGAAAGCGCGCGGGAAAAGCAGCTGCCGTACAAACTCCCTTGAACATCAACTGCACGGGCTTGGACTCCAAAACAAACGTCCGGAAGTCGGGAGAAGGACACAGCCACGGACGACATCAGCAAGCAATATAAGGGGCCTGAATAATTGGAATAGGGTTTTGGGCGGTTATTATCGAAATTAGTATAGGGACCATAAGTAAGCATATGGTCAGTTTGGCACAGCGACAGCACGAGAAATGCCAGGCAAGCTGCGCAACAGCCTTGGCCAAAGCCAAAGGCACCCGCCAGCCACCTCCCAAACTGTCTCCTAAAACCCTAAAAACCCTAAAAACCCTGAAAACCCTAAAAACCCTAAAGACCCTAAAGACCCTAAAAACCCTAAAAACCCTAAAAACCCTAAAAACCCTAGAGACCCTAAAAACCCTAAAACTCCTAAAAACCCTAAAAACCCTAAAGACCCTAAAAACCCTAAAAACCCTAAAAACCCTAAAAACCCCAAAAACCCTAAAAACCCTAAAAACCCTGGGCTTCATCCAAGGTGATGGTCTCCCCTTGGGGGGTATCCCTAGATAAACGGCTCGTATCATGATCGGAACCCCGAAGTGGCATCATGCGTTTTAGCGAAGTCCCCATCTGCTTCTGGAGTCGCAACGCCCCGAAGTGAACACCCTAACGCTGGGATCCTGTACCTCCTACCTCCAAAACCCCTATTGTTTGTGCATATTGAACCATCAGCCCTGTTAGGGTACGTTTGGTCCCCAGGGGTAGGGTTTCGAATAGGGTTCATCCCCAAGGTAGGGTTGCGAATAGGGTTCATGAAGGCCCTCTGAGGCTTCCTGCCTGAGGCATGTATGCAGTGCCACCAAACATTGACCCTTGATCGACCCCTGAACCCTAAACCTTAAATCCTAAAACCTGAACCCAAAAACCGAAACCCTAAACCCTAAACCTTCTGGATTGACGTGTTGGACTTGTGCTTCGACTTGAAGGGGTTTAGGCTTTGCGGCTTAGGGTCAGTTTATCGTTGCAGAGGTTTACTGCCCTAAGCCCTCCAAGCCCTCTAAGCCCTCTGAGCCCTCTAGCAGACCCAAACAAGCTGTTCGTCAATGCTGCCCCCCCCCCCCAACTGTCCTCCTCCTAACTCTTCTAACCCCTGCAGGGTTGAGGGCTTCAATGCCAAGGTTTAGGGGTTAGGGCTTATAGGGGGCTTAGGCTTTATAGAAGGGTTTAAGGTTTAGGGTTCCTCTCCCCGTCTTGCACCCACTAAATCCTAAGCCCCCCCCACCTGCATCGCCGCAGCAGGCGCTGATCAACAGAGTCGGCAATGCTGTCAGGCACCATGGGATCCTCTGCACTCGGGTTGAGGGTTTAGGGTTTAGGGTTTAGGGTTTAGGGTTTAGGGGCGGGCGTTGGCCATTGGGCCATGTAGTGTAGGCTCGGGCGAGGTAGTCATTGGCTTCAGTTCTTGGGCTTGTGGAGGTCATGGGATGCACATGCTGTAAAAAAGACCCGAAACCCTAAACCGAAACCCTAGAATCCACTTGGGAGTGGGGGCTAAGAAAGATGAGAGCACCTGAATCAGAACCCAAGAATGAACTGCTAGCGTCATCACCACATGCTGGGGGCATGAAGTCCTCGTCCCATGACGCTGCCTGCACCTCCACAAAGAGGTCGTGCAGGGGCTACCTGTCCAGCAGCTTTTCGCGGGTCAAACGCCAGAAGCCCCTCTCACGATTGAAATAAGTACTTTCGGAGGCTTAAGGTTGCTTAAAGGCGTGTACTGTAAGTCCTTTGAGTGAAACGCTCCTGGAAACTTCTCAGTTTTAGCCCAAAACTGCTGAACCCTGCATCTTCGCTCGAACAGCCGCGCGTACGCAGCTGACACCAAGCTAAACATAGCTAAACGGCATCGACATGTCTGACATGTCGGGAATGGAATGGGACCTGACCTCCCCATTTAGGGTTTAGGGTTTGGGGTTTAGGGTTTAGGGTTCCTGTGAGGCTACTTCCTGTACACAGACGCCTCGAATGTTCGAAAGGCGTAGGTCGGACAACAGCTTGGAGGCAAATCTGGGCAAGCCTTGGGCAAGCCGCAGTATGCACACTTTACAACTATACTCCCCTTAGAACCTTAAGAAGAACAATATTTTTAAGATCCTCTTAGGTTTTATATAAACAAAAAATCATTCCCAAGGGGATATAGACAATGCCTCAGGTGTTGTGGGCTCTGTACATCTGGAATAAAGACCTTGTCAGTCCTCGACACTATCCCTATACGACACAAAAGAAACAAAAGACCTGTGCTTGCCCGCCACAGCCAATCTCTTGGAATCAATCAGCATGGCACGTCATCTGACTGCCGCCCAAGAGTTGCTGGCACTTTGCATTGCCGCAGCACGGCTGTGTCAACTGACCTGGCCCTCCGCAAACTTCATTTTCTGCCACGCAGCTCTCTTGCTCCACGCATATCATCTGACTGCCACCAAAGAGCTGTTGGCACTTCGCGTTGCCGCAGCACAGCTGTGTCAGCTGACCTGGCCCTCCGCAAACTTCATTCACAGCCACGCAGCTTTGCTGTTCCACACATGTCATCTGACTGCCGCCCAAGAGCTGCTGGCACTTTGCGTTGCCACAACACTGCTGTGTCAGCTGACCTGGCCCTCCGCAAACTTCATTTTCTGCCACGCAGCTCTCCTGCTTCACGCATATCATCTGACTGCCACCCAAGAGCCGTTGGCACCTTGCGTTGCCGCAACACTGCTGGGTCATCTGCCCAGGCCCTCCACAAACTTCGTTTGCTGCCACACAGACTTGCTCGAGTAGTAGGCTTTGAGGCTTCACGCACTTCATCTGACTGCCGCCCAAGAGTTGCCGGCACTTTGCATCGCCGCAGCACGGCTGTGTCAACTGACCTGGCCCCCCGCAAACTTCATTTTCTGCCACGCAGCTCTCTTGCTCCACGCATATCATCTGACTGCCACCAAAGAGCTGTTGGCACTTCGCGTTGCCGCAGCACAGCTGTGTCAGCTGACCTGGCCCCCCGCAAACTTCATTCACAGCCACGCAGCTTTGCTGTTCCACGCATGTCATCTGACTGCCGCCCAAGAGCTGCTGGCACTTTGCGCTGCCGCAACACTGCTGCGTCAGCTGACCGGGTCCTCCACAGACTTCGTTTGTGGCCACACAGCTTTGCTGTTCCACACACTTCATCTCACTGCCACCCAGTAGCTGTTGACACTGTGCACTGCCGCAGCAAGACTGTGATGGCTGACCTGACCACCCGCAGGTGCTGTGCTCCGGTAGACAGCGCTCTTGGCGGCGAACGCACACACCACCAAAGCCCGAGGACGTGCACTCGAAGTCGTCACAGCATGGAGAAGCTCGGACCCAAACCATCCAAGGCTTGGCCCTGCAGGGTCCGCCCTCCACTCCTTGGCAGTGGCAGTCACGGCATCCTCGAAGTGAAGTCGCAGCACTCGAGGCGTTCGACGGACTCTGCGCTGCGACGGCCCCCACGAAGCAAACCAGCGCCAACGGGCCTAAGCTGGGTGACTCGAATTCTACTCACTGGCTGCACTATATGGTATTTTTTCGCCTGAATTTATCTAGCTTCCAAATGTCGTCCATGACGACTGAAAAACGCTCGAAGGCTTTCTAAAGAAACAGCACAGCGGCGAGCCATGCTCGTATGGTCAGGTCGTAGGCTATAGCGGGTGAGCTATACGGGCTTGTGATGCTTTCGGCTTATGGCAAAGGGCTGCGCGCAGACACAGCAGGTGCCTCTGCGATGCAGTTTGAACTTAAAGGAACCTCGAGGACCAAACGGACCCCAAAATTGGGATCGTATACCCTATGCTACTATACTCCCGGTTCAGGTAAATGCTCTTATAGGGTTCATTTAACCCACAAGGAAGTGCATGAGGGTCGTGGACGAACGCAACAACTTACTGGTTCATCGCTCGTCTTTGCAGGATTCACGAGCTTGTGCTGTACTAGAAACCCTTACGCACGAAGTGAACCGCCCTAAACCCTAAACCCTTAACCCTAACCCTAAACCCTAAAACCCTAAAACCCTAAAACCCTAAAACCCTAAAACCCTAAAACCCTAAAACCCTAAACCGGACGGTCAGGCTTTATGACGCACTTCCTGCTTCTATCTCCATGAAGAGACGCTGTCATGGAGGTCATCTGCTCCTCAAGTTTGTCACCCTCCTCAGGTGGCCCTGTCTACATGTAGGCCCCCCCCCCAGTTGTAAGTAAGATTATAATGTAAGTGACCTAAATTGGGTTCAAAGTCTTACTACATAGGTTACATGACTCCCTCAACCAAATTAGAGGAGAAAAAAAGGGGGCCCCTACTTATGAACCCTGGACACTTGACATCCTGGAGAGCTCCCCCCAAACTGGCCCTACCTTGGCCCGCACATGGCACAAAGGACCAGGGGCGTGTGTATCCCTCTGCAGGGACTACGCTCTATAGGGGGAACCCTTTAAGAAGAAGGTGCCTATAACTTGGGGGGAGCAACTGAACCCGAAAGTTGGGGTCATCTACCCTGCTCTGGAGCAGCACCAGGCGTTTAGGCACATGTTACGCCGGGCGGTTCCAGGGTGCTGCAGCAGCCTAACTTCAGGGTGTCGCTTGAACTGACATACTCCATGCCCTTTTCTTGAGTCAGAATTATGCCCTAAACCCTAAACCCTAAACCCTAAACCCTAAACCCTTTTTTCCTGGGGAGGCTAAACTTGATCCTTCAGGCCAACATCACATGAGAGGGCCGAAGCCCATCGGCAAGCCGAATCAGGAAGGCAGACAAGGACGGCAGTCACAAGGATCCAGGCGTTTAAGGGTTTAGGGTTTAGGGTGGTTTGGTTTCGGGTTTAGGGTTTAGGGTTTAGGGTGGTTTGGTTTCGGGTTTGGGGCTTAGGGTTTGGGGTTTAGGGTTAAGGGTTTCTTTCAGGTTGTTCAGCGTGTCTTAGGCGTCTAGGGTGTGTGTTATTAGGGTTTTTACGGCTACTATTTGCGGGCAAAATGTGATATATATATATATATATATACATATATGTTTTCCATTTTTTCTGGGGGGGGGTTCTTTAGCAAGTAGTAGGCTCTTAGGGTTTGTTTGGGGTTTGGGATTTTTTTAAGGGTGTTGTAGGGTTTTGTGGTTGTTTTTCTCAAGGGGCTTTTGGGTTTATGGGGTGTAGCTCTTGGGGTTCAGGGCTTAGGGCTTTAGAGAGTTTTGGGGTTTCAATGTTTAAGAACTTTGGCGGGGTGCAGAGATTTAGGTGCAGAAATTTCTGGTAGTTGCCGCTACTGCCGGCCAAGGGCCCGGGAGGTGCGCAAGAGCTCACCACCAACACACCTTTAAGCCCCAGAGCCTATAAGCCTACCTGCAAAACCTTACGCCCTAAACCCCAAACCCCAAACCCTAAACGCTGAACCCTAAACCCTAAACCCTAAACCCTAAAATCAGCAGTCTGAGTGCTACCAAGAGCCCTGAACCCTCAAACCTAAACCCGAAACCCCCAAACAAGTCCTTCCGCTACAGGGGCACGGCAGGTCCGTTAGGGAGTCGATCCCCTGACGTACCTGGGGCCCACCTGCCGCACAGCTGGCCGCGCAAGGGGGGGCAGTGAGAAGTTGAACCAGGTTTACGGGTGAAGGGCTTTTGGGCTTTGAGGGTTTAAGGGTTCTAGTGGGGTTGAGGGAAGCAGTTTTAGGCTTAGGGGAGTGGGTTGCAGGGTTTATTTGGGTGGTTTCGGCACCTAAGGGGGGTTCAGTGGGGCTTGGTGGAGATAAGGGTTTAGGGGTTCGGGTTTAAAAGCATCTTCGGCGTTAAGGGTTGAAGGGGGTTAAGCGCTGATTTTGTGCTTTATGTGGGCTGTTAGAGGGCCCAAGCCTGAAGAGCTTAAGGGTGACGTTGCCCGCTGCTTGGAGGGCCCGGAAGTAGCTCGGGAATGGTTCTAAGCCATTGTGTGTTCGACGCTCAGCCCTGAAAAAAACCCCACGAAAACAACAAAACATCTCGGAGCCTAGTTTCCACCCAACGAGCTTGCCACGTCCTGCCAGACTTCCAGCTCTAGAGCGCTGCGCTGCCTGCTTTAGGAACCCAGATCTTCTTGAACCTAGAACTTCGATATCTGGAGCCCAGAATCCTCGGCTTTTTCTGTCTAGAACGTCGATGCTCATCGATGTTCCCTTGAAAAAAGTACTTATATTGCTGTCTCCTGGTGGACCAAATGAACCCCACAAAATGGGGGCTCATACACCCTAGACTACTATCATCCGTACTCGGGCATTATGAACCGGAAAACCTCTCAGGGTTCATCTGGACTGCAAGGTCGAGCGCCGGGAATCATGCTTTCGCGTCGGATATGTCAGCTCGCCTTAGAATCAATAGACGTCAGGTGGCTATGATCTGCCTCGGTAAACCTAGAAGCCCTAAACCCTAAACCCTAAACCCTACTGTAAACCCTAAACCCCGGCCGACCTGCATGCGCCTTCTTGAAGCCCACGTAGGTGGTGTCCTGGCACTACATCTGGGGTTCATGGTACTTATGAGCCCAATAATACCTGGGTTGTCTGAAAATATCCATCTCTTATAAACCCAGTAGTGGAAGTGATATGAAAAAACCAACTCGTGTAGACTTGCTGAAGCCCATGCTTTTTCAGGCGAACCACCCCTCCTCCTCTCTCCCCCAACCCACACACATACGCATATGGCCTTTCGATCGACGAAGTCTTGCACGCCGAGGGCAATAACCATGCGCTGGCCCTTGAGAGAGAGCTGAAGGACCTCATCAGGCTTGAAACAAGAGGTTCATGCTAAGAAGCAGCATGTCAGGCTTCGCAGGTGCCTGTGAGCACATTATTTCTACCCCTCATGACCCTACGTCCCATGGCGAGCCTCCCTCAAAACCCTAAACCCTAAACCCTAAACCCTCCAACCCTCTAACCCTCAAACCCTCAAACCCTCAAACCCTAGACCCTGGCAAAACCCTCCTCTCCTCTCCCTGACAACCGGCTTTGGGGTTACCAGGAATAGCCAGAGGTTGCGGGGATGAGCCGGCGGACTGAGGCTTGGTGCACAAACCCACTGAGGTGGCCAGATTCATAAGCAGACTTAGGGTTTAGGGTTTAGGGTTGAGGGTTTAGGGTTTGGGGTTTGGGATTTAGGGTTTAGGATTTGGGGTTTAGGGGTTAGGGGTTTGGGGTTTAGGGTTGAGGACTTGCGGTTTAGGGGCAGCAGACGCCCTAACCCCTAAGCCTCATGCCGACGTCCCGGACTTGAAGGCCTCCCCAGGAACAAGAGCGCCGCAACATGAACCCTAAACCCTGAACCCTGAACCCTAAACCCTAAACCCTAAACTCCAAACCCTAAACCTTAAACCTAAACCCTAAACCCCACACCCTGTACCCACAGGGCTCCCGAGCCGAGGAGAGGTGCTCCAGGCTGCGGAACAGCCTGGGATGCTTGTGGCAACTTCTTGGGGCTTCGGATTTTTCCTTAACCTCTGTTAGGGTTTAGGGTTTAGGGTTTAGGGTTTAGGGTTTAGGGTTTAGGGACCAGGGTTTTCGGCTGGCTTCGGGCTCCCCCTTTGGGGTCCCCTTCTAGGGTTTAGGGGTTTAGGGTTTCAGGGACTATAAGGGTTTAGGGTTTAGGGTTTAGGGTTTGAGGGTGCAGGGTGGGGTCTAGTCTGGTGCTAGGGTTATCCCTAACACCTGGTAGGCTCTGGGAGCCCCCCCCCCCCCCAAACCCCACTCGTGACCTGATTTTGCAAAATGCCCATTTCCTTCTCCCTAAAGACCTACATTCAATATTGACTGAGTACAATATCGCATAAGGCGATAAGCACATTGCATGACCCGATATACGCATAGACCCCAACCCTCAACCCTCAACCCTCAAACCTCAACCCTAAACCCTAAACCCTAAAACCTAAACCCTAAACCCACAACCCTAAACCCTAAACCCTAAACCCTGAACAAACCATTCTTTGGAGCCTGACGGCGCTTGGGAGTCCGTATGCTGCCGAGGCACTGGTCCAAGGAGGCCGAGGAACTTTCAGCCTGGACATCAAGAAGGCTGTCCGAGGAGCTCTTCGCGAGTTGCGTTCATGAGGTTTAGGGTTTAGGGTTTGGGGTTTGGGGTTCGGGGTTTGGGGTTTAGCACTGTCAGCAAGGCCGAAGGTGGCGCCAACCGATGATTGGGGGCCTGTAGAAGGGTTTCAGAGGAGTCCATCTCGCACCCAATATAGTTCCATATCTCGGTTTGGGTCGAACAAAAGGCGAGGCGGCACGAGGCGAAACCTCAAAAGCGAGCCACTCTACAAAAACTCCTTTTGTTTCTGAGGTTTAGGGTGTAATATTTAGGCTTAAAGCAAGGGAGTGATACGCTGTGTCGCCTAAGGGGTAGAGAGTTTGGGAACCTAAGCATCAGTGTCCCTGAGGGCTCTAGCGACCTGGAAGTAGCATCGTCTGAGAGTCCTATAAGGGCTCATAGCCTAGGACCAAGTCGGGCTTTGAGGGGCTCTTCAGGGTAACTCTTCTTAGTAGCCCAGTAGCCAGATTATACTAAGGGCACCCTTTTTTTGCTTGGCTACTGTTTAAGGGAACCCAGAACCAACAGAAGGGTAAAGGGTACCACTGGGCTACCAAGTCCTACAACCCGGAAGGCCCCAAAGCAGTGAACTCCGGTCCCGCGCCTGTTGCTGCAGCGACCCCATGGAGTCTTCCAAAGCTGCCAAGAGAAGGGCTCGCAAGCAGGGTAGGTCTTGATTGAACCGTGCGCTGTTTAAAACAAATCTCAACCCTAAACCCTAAACCCTAAACCCTAAACCCTAAACCCTAAACCCTAAACCCTAAACCCTAAACCCTAAACCCTAAACCCTAAACCCTAAACCCCAACCACGAGCAAAACAGCGCCTGGCATGGAAGGATTGTGGTTTAGGATCCTGCAGCCCTGGGTCGGTAGGTGCGCCATGCTCAGACAACATGTTTGCGGGTTTAGGGCTTAGGGTTTAGGGTTAGGGTTTAGGGTTTAGGGTTTAGGGTTTAGGGTTTAGGGTTTAGGGTTTAGGGTTTAGGGTTTAGGGTTTAGGGTTTAGGGTTTAGGGTTTAGGGTTTAGGGTTTCGGGTTTCGGGTTTCGGGTTTAGGGCTTAGGCTGGCATCTGAGGTGCAGGTAAAAGAGCGCACGAGGGGCAAGGCTTCCATGGCCAGGTGAGAGTCTGGTCTCCAGCCCAAAGAACCCAATTCCCCTGCTTAAATCTTACTTGGGCTCCTTAAGACATTTAAGGATTACCCAATTCCCCTGCTTAAATCTTACTTGGGCTCCTGAAGACATTTCAGGATTACACAATTCCCCTGCTTAAATCTTATTTGGGCTCCTTAAGACATTTCAGGGTTAGACTCCTGACAGAAGGGGGGGTATTGGGCTCTCTGGCGATCTCTGAAGTGGTAGGACAGCATCAGCCTCAGGTGAATCAACCCCGCAATGGAGATTCAGAACCTTCAGGAAGAGCCGGAAGAACATTGGCAACCTCTCAATCCTGAACTCTAAACCCTCAACACCCTAAACCCTAAACCCCAAACCCCAAACCCCAAACCCCAAACCCTAAACCCTAAACCCTGCCGGTTCTCGAGATCCTGGCCTTGTTTGTCGCGATCTCTCTTCGAGTCTAAGCTCTCGATGTCCAGGCGAACCTTCCACACCGAGCGCAGTGGAATGTAAGGGTAGAAGGAGGGACCCCCAGAAGGGAACCTTAATCTTAGGGTTCAGGGTTTAGGGTTTAGGGTTCCCTTATATCACCTTTCTGTATACCTGATATGGTCCCTAAACACCTGAGTAGCCCGCTAAATACCCCCTAAATTACCCCTAAGGTCCCTTGTAAGCGTCCCTCCACTCATCCCTTGAGGACTCCAAAGCGCCAAACGCAGCATCGCATCCCTCTGCCATCCAGACGATGCTGTTCCGGAGGAGACCCTTTTGTATATTTGTGGTCCTGTATTCCCCTTAGAACCAGAATGATACTGCTAGAGGGTTCCTGCAAAAAATCCTTGGGCTGTATCATCAAAGACTTGACTCCTAATGGCGCGATGGTCAAATCAAACCTTCTCCAAGATACATGAAACATGCTGCTCGAACACAGACCCTAAACCCTAAACCTTAAACCATAAACCCTAAACCCTCATGAGCTCAACCCTCAACCCTGGCCTCGTGGAGGGACGCCTCAACGTAGCGGCTGCTCCTAGGATGGGTTCTAGCAAGCTGGAGTCTAGGGTTAGGGTTTAGAGTTGAGGGTTTCGGGCTTAGGGTTTAGGGTAGTGTGTATAGGCCATTGGATTCCGGGGGCTGGCTTCTTCACAGAGAGCAAACCCTAACGAGCCTAACGTACCCGAACAACCTGGTGTACAGATGCACAGGGATCAGGGTTTAGGGTGTTACGGTTTAGGGTACCGTAACAACTCTCATAACCCCTAGCAACCCTACGAGAAGCATCAGCCAACGTATATCAGACCTAAACCCTAAACCCTAAACCCTAAACCCTAAACCCTCCATCTTGAGGGCATGCGAGGCGCGAGTCCAGGGACTCTTTGACGTGCTGCAGGGAGTCCTGTGCAGAGTGAAAAGGGTACCACTGGGGCTTAGGGTTTAGCGTTTAGGGTTTAGGGTTTAGGGAGCGAAAAGGGCACCACTGGGCTACCAAGATTAGGACTCCTCTTAGGGTAGTTGCATGGTCACCCTTCGTATGAGCCCTTAAAAGGGGACCCCTTATATAACCCCGTATGTACCCTGCACAAATTAAGGGCCCAAGATTAAAGAATATAGACCCAGGAGTAACCTAGGAATAGAAAAAGCTGCCCATTTTTGGCAGTAAGGGGAGTAAGGGAAGCCCAAGCAATCCTTTCTTTCGGAACCCTCGAGCTTCCGCGCCCTAGCCCTTCAGCTTCCCCTACACCCGAGCCCGAACCTCTTGGCAAACCTCGAACCCTAATCCTGATACTCGCGAGCTGCAGCTAGGGGGGGGTGTCGGGGAATTTGGGAGGTCCTCCGCGTCTTTGAGGAAGATTTGAACATCCTCAGCTGCAGTCAACGGTAGGGCTGCGGAGTTCGTGTTCTCTGGAGCTTTTATGGGCTTGGGCATCACGAGCCCCTAAATGATGATGAACCTATAAACCCCAAACCCCAAACCCCAAACCCTAAACCCTACATAAACCCGGCAGTTCACACCGATTCCCTCCAGGTCCAGCCCAGGAGCGCTGTGGAGGGCGGCGAGCTCCTACATGGGAGACGCTTTTCTGGGGTTCGGGGGGGTGGGGGGGGGGGGGGCTCAGGAGCTGTCGGTAAAATCTAACTATATGTATAATATATATATATATATATATTATGTATATATACATATAGATATAATTCCTATATATATGTACATATGTGCACCCCCCTGAAAGGTCTCCAAGGGCATCACTTCAGAGGGCCATCAGGGGTCTCCGCGTGCACAGGTCACAGGGCTGTACAGAGGCCTTAGGGCACAGCCGATTGGCCATTAGTTTTGCTGTTCATTACCTTTTTGATCAACAAAGATGCCTTTGGTCTCGATTCGTGCCCCCCCCCCCCCCCCCCCCACCCGAATTCGGGGACAGAAGGTGTGAAGGGGCCCCCAGCACATGTCCTCACGACAAGAAGGCGTTCCAAATCCCACCTAACCAACAAAAACACCCCCCTAAACACCCTGAAAAAAAAACCTAAACATGCGACAAACCCTGAAAACCCTGGACAACCCTTGAACGCCTCAGCAACACCCGAGAACCCTAATCCCGGCCCCACCCCGACACCCAACAGTCCTTCACCTCCCGGCTGAAGGACGTGCGCGTCTCGTGCCTCAGAAGTGTCGCAGGCAGCAAGCTTGGGATTACCAATAACATGATTGCGATGTGCCGTTGCCATGACCAATGCTGTCGCTATTGCTTCGTGCTATGGCAGTGAATATTGCTCTTGCCATTGCCAGTACTGCCCTTTTGCTCTCACCAGAAATATGACGATTCCTGTTGCGCATTTTTGTGCTTCTCAGCGTTTGGCAAAAGCGATGATGCTATGAATACTAAATAGGTGCAGTTAAACCCTAAAGCCCAAACCTTGGGTTCATTCGGTCCCTAAAGCCTAAACCCTAAACCCTAAACCCCAAAAACCCCAAGGCAGGGCCGTGGCAGCATGTTCGCGGAGTGCGCCGACATGAGGTTGGCGGTTCGCTTGATCTCCGCCTTCAGGTCCTCCAAGCCGCACAGGGGCTTTCGGAGGAGAAAATCGAAGGAAGGTTTAGGGTTTAGGGTTTAGGGTTTAGGGTTTAGCGTTCAGGGCTTCGTTTGTAGCACTTCAAGCTGTTGCTTGGCATTTTGCAGACTTCAGGGGCAAGACTCGGCTTCAGATCGTTCGGCCCCTTTTTCCAGGGATGGGCCTGCAAGCCGAATGAACCGAAGAAACCGAATGAAATCCCAAAGCCAGGTGGGTGTCAGTGGCAGGCCAGATGTGGTTAAAGCTCTGTCAGCTACTAGTGTTTGGTTGGGCTGGCAAAGGGCTGTTCTGGGAATTGAACCCAGGACCTCTCGCACCCGAAGCGAGAATCATGCCACTAGACCAAACAGCCAGTGGCATTGCTGGCTCACCAAGACAAACCCAAGACAACAGCCAATGCACTGCTGACTCAGGACGACAAACACAAAGCATGGCTGCTTGTCTTAAACAACTTTGCGAAAAGCACAAGGTGTTGCACAGCTCTCACACACAAAACATGCTTTGTAGGACTTACAGCCTATGAGGGCACACTGTGAAAATGGTCCCACGCGGGCTCGAACCGCGGACCTTACGGTTATAAACCCTGAGCCCTAACACCCCTTTTATATAGATGTGCAAATTATATATATATATATATAATTTATGTATTTAGTTTGTATTTATATGTATAAGCCCTACAACCTTATAAACATATGAACATAAACCCAAAACCTTTAAAAAACGCTTTTCAAGCCCCGTCCTTGTCCACCTTTTCCACTCGATTGGAGATCTCCGTGGTGATGCTGGTGAGGTCTGTCCTCAGGATCTCGGGTTCCGCGGTTGGTGAATTTCTTGGCCCAGGAGAAGTTTAGGGTTCAGGGTTTAGGGTTTAGGGTTTAGGGTTTAGGGTTTAGGGTTTAGGGTTTAGGGTTTAGGGAGTTGAACCTGGTTATGGTAGGAGCATATATAAGAATGTTAAAGGTTGCCAATCCAGCTACTCAGGTTCTTAATCATCTCCATCAGTCCAGGGTATGCAACACACTGGGCTCCCAGTAGCTACTGCAATGCTGCAGAGAAGGCTCTAATGGAGATTTTCATCGTAGCATCGGAGATATGATCCCACTTCTACAGCTCACTTAGGGCAACCCAGGGCTCTTAAAAGGGTTTAGGGTTTAGGGTTTAGGGCACACTAATGAACCTCTATTCACAGAATCGAAGAGCAGCCGCGCGTCAAATGCTCACCATGACCTTCTTGTATTCCAGTGATCTGGGCGAGCAGGTGCTTGTGTGGATGCTTGGAGTTCAGGCTTCTCAACAGTTTCGGCCAACAGGGCGTGGGCGACCGAATCTGCTTGCTGCTTGTCACCCTATACCCGAAACCCTAAACCCTAAACCCTAAACCCTAAACCCTAAACCCAAAGCCCGCGTGATTCTCCCCCTCCCCAGCTTTGACCTATGGTCGATGATCTGACGGTCTCGGAATTGGGACTGGAACTCTGGTAGCTAGGGCTGCTAGGGCCATGAAGCTATTCGGGTTTAGGGTTTAGGGTTTAGGGTTTAGGGTTTAGGATTGTTAAGTTGTTACGGTTTGGGGTTGTTAGGGTGGTCAGGGTTGTCAGGGTTGTCGGGGTTGTTAGGGTTTAGGGGCTCAGGGGTTTGCTTCGTTGCTTGCAGCAGCCATTGTTTTGGCATCCGAACACTTTAGCGGGTCTCAGGGCGACATGGCTCATAACCCTGACCGCCCTCGCTTCTGCAGATACTTCCTGAACCTGGAGGAAAAAAGAGCATCCCGAGTTCAAGCCAACAAGTGCTAGAACCCTAAACCCTAGACCCTAGACCCTAGACCCTAGACCCTAGACCCTAAACCCTAAACCCTAAACCCTAAACCCTAAGTTTCAGGGTCTCCCCGCCTTCTTGACGTGGGAGTCAAGAAGCCGGAGCTCCTGCAGCTCGGCCAGCACCTGCTGTAGCAGGCCCACAGGGCTAGGGTTTTATAGGGGCTTTAGGGTTTTATCAGGGTTTCTAGGGTTTTAACGAGTTTTTAGGGGGTTTTTAGGGTTTTTAGGGTTTATAGGGGTTTTATATCGGGCTTTCAGGGTTTATGGAGGTGTTAGAGCTTTAGGGGCTTCAGGGTTTAAAAGTTTGGGTGTAGACCCAGAAAACAGGAAGGCCCCTGATATAGGTAAGGGCCCAAAAAACCACATAAACATAAGGATCCTACTATTGGGTATAAGGGCCCCTATAAGGGGGATTCCCAAAAACCCTGCTTGTAGGATCCTTATGTTTATGTGGTTTTGTTGGGCCCCTAATAGGGGCCAATGGGATCGAGGGTTGGGGGAGCAGGTTGCTGGAGGGGCCCATGGAGTCAGAACGAGCATTATTAGGGTTTAGGGTTTAGGGTTTAGGGTTTAGGGTTTAAGGTTTAGGGTTTAGGGGTAATATCTTGCGACAAGGGGAGAATCCTTGGTGGCTGCTTAGGCTGCTGCATTGAACCCCAACCTCAAGGACCCTAAGCTCGTCCACTACTGTGATATCGGGGCCTTAGTAGCTAGAATAGGGTTTTGGGGGGGTTATTCCCCAAACAGTCTACTGTTTGGGTTCTAAATTCATTTAAGTATGAGACAGGACCCCTTTGAGGTTACCAACGGACACCGGGGCCCTAATGCCGTAAACCCTCGCGGTTTTTTCGTATGAAAAAAGAACTCCAATATGCCAGAGTTTAAGGAATCTTCCTTAGAATCGCCACTTGGAATCACCATTCGACTTGAGGGAAGATTCCCTTCATTTAGGGAAGAGTCTTCCAGTTTCGGTTTTGGGGCTTGGGGAACCCATCTCTCTCTCTCTCTCTCTCTCTCTCTCTCTCTTCAGCGCCTCTCCGACCGTCGTCTCGAGCTGCGCCGTCTGCATGTCGAAACCTGATCCGATGTCGGGTCAGGGCTTAGGCTCCTGTACTCCCCCCCCCTCCCTTTAGGGTTTAGGGTTTAGGGTTTAGGGTTTAGGGGGTTTAGGGTTTAGGGTTTAGGGTTTAGGGTTTAGGGTTTAGGGTTAGGGTTTAGGGTTTAGGGGTTCCCCCCCCCCCCCCCCCCCCCCCCGCCAAAAAAAAAGGTTCTCAGCGTGTAGGGTTTTGGGGTTTTAGGGTGTATGGGTTTAGGCTTTTAAGGGTTTGGGTTTTTTTTTAAGGTTTTGGGGCTTTCACGTAAGGGGGCCCCCAGATATGAGTAGGGGCCCTTAAATTGGGTTACAAGTCTTGCCTAAAGTTAGTGTAGTAGGGGGGGCCCCTACTTGTAGGTGATGCACACTTGATGCTTGCGACTTGGCAGCAGCTACCACTGCGACTAAGCCCTGGAGCATGTGACCCTGATTGCCCCTCAAAACTCTGAGCTACCTGTATAAGTTATGGGATGTTCCCCCTTATACTAACAGTCCTTAGTGGGGATTCTAACAGGAAGTATGGTAATCCCTACTCAGGACTGCTGTGAGGAAAAAGGGGGAACATCCCAATGTGTAAGCCTTATGAGTATTCCCTCGGAAGCTTAAGAGCAATGATAAGTTTAGAGTTCATATGGGCTTAATTTTGGGCCTAGGATGGTTTGTGAGATGTGAAAGCAAAAGACGTGGAAGAATGCTGGCACTTTGGGGGCTCCAGAGTTCTAGCCCTAACCCTAACCCTAACCCTAAACCCTAAACCCTAAACCCCAAACCCTAAACCCTAAACCCTAAACTCTAACCCTAACCCCTAAACCCCAAATCCAGATCTGAGGCCCCTGCGTCGGAGGCTCGGAGGGGAGAACTCATCCACCTCCTGGAGCTTTGGAGAGTGCAGAAAGGTTTCTGGGACTGAGGGTTCGAAACCCTCCTTCCCTTGAACCCTAAACCCTAAACCCTAAACCCTAAACCCTGAACCCTGAACCCTAATCCCTAAACCCTACCTCACCTCGGGGCCCCAAATCTCGTTGGAGAGCGCCTTGTGCATGTCCTGCGGGGGCTCAGCAGCAAGGCTTCCCCAGAACCCGGGTGGCCAACCCTAAACCCTAAACCCTAAACCCTAAACCCTTAACCCCAAGCCCTAAACTCTACACCCTAAACCCTAAACGCTAGCGGGGTTTAGGGTTCAGGGATTCGTTTCACGAGATGCTGGAGCTGCCATCGAGGCCCACCCCCCTCCCCCCACCAGTGCCACAGAGGGCTTAGGGTTTTCTACTAACAAGTAATAGATAACAATCCCTCTGTTTCCCTTGTAAGGAAGAATATCTAAATTTTGAGAGGTTCTTAAGCAAATAGTAGCTTTGGAGTTGTAGAGACTCACAGAGCAGGGGTTTAGGGCCTTAGGACTGAGGGCCTTTCTAAAGGTTAACCTTTGGGAATATAAGGGGATTATATTGCCCCAAAAAGGTTAAAGGTTACCTACTCTACAACAAAGGATAAAGGTTTCTGGCAGACCAACCTTCCCCTCACTCCTAAAGCAAAACTCCGCTCCTTGACCTGGTCGATGCCGAGCCTTTCGGGTGCTGACGTGGGCTATGGGCTCTCATCAACTCAGGTAAATGCGCGCTGAGAGGTCAGGGTTTAGGGTTTAGGGTTTAGGGTTTAGGGTTAAGGGCTTAGCGTTCAGGGTTTGGGGTTTAGGGTCTTCCTAAACCCTAGACCCCGTTTATCAACCTCGCCCAAGAGGCTCGAGTCGCTTCACCTCGAAGTCGAGATGATCCTGCCGACGTGTCTGGGGCTCATGCTCGGGTCTATAGGTTCTAGGGTAGGGTTTAGGGTTTAGGGTTTAGGGTTTGGGGTTTGGGGTTTGGGGTTTTGGGTTTAGGGTTTAGGGTTCAAAGAAGGTAAGGGAAGACATTAAGGGACCATAACGCTGTCCGTAGACATATGAGCTTGTTCGCGCCGGTTCTTAGTAGGGAATGAGGGAAGGAGGAACCCCATAGGGTTTAGGCTTTAGGGTTTAGGGTTCAGGGTTTGGGGTTTAGGGTTTAGGGATAATCCCTTAAAGGGTATATGTTGGGTCCTAATTCCCTCACCTTGTGGACCAAATGAGCCCTCAACGGGCTTGTGGTTCACAGCCCCTGTTTAGGGATTATAGTTTGGGATGCTCCCTTCTACCAACAGTCCTTAATCTGGACTATATAGGAGGGGCACTACAATCCCTACTAAGGACTGTTAGTCTAAGGGGGAACATCCCAAATTATAGTAATTTCGGGCAGTATGACCCGAATTTTAGGGTCCAGAGGGTGAGCAAGGATAGGCTCTGGTGAAGTTCATGTGCACCTGGATCCCAAGCCCTTCTAACCTACATGTAAGGGCCCCCCAGTTATACATAGGGTAAGGAACCTTAATTGGGCTGCAGGTCGTACTACTTAGGAAAAAAGTTAGTATAGTAAGCGGGTCCCTAATGACTTGTAGCAGTTCGGGTGCTACAACTTGTGAGAGGCACCAGTGGGCTGCAAATCCGAAATTTGGGGGGGGGGGGGGGGGGGGGGGTGCCTTTTTGGGGTCCTCATTTGTAAGGGAATCCTACTAGAATTGGGGGTCTATATTGGGGGGTCCCCTCTTTTTTCGTAAACTCCCATTTGGTATTTCCCTAAACCCTAAACCCTAAACCCTAAACCCTAGACCGCTAGCATACTTCAAAAGACCAAGGGAGGCAGCCGTGCTCCTTGTTTTTCTTGACACCCATGTCGAGGCTTGTCTGCCTTGCGAGCAGGTGGCTGGCTTGCTGGGACGAAAAAAACGTAGGCGAGCCCCCTTATTATGCGAACTTTACTTGAGCGGATTATCGCCAGACTTATGGAGCAATTAAGGGCCCTGATAAACCCGATTTATGACTAGGCGGATGTATGAGCCGCGGAGGGAGCGTAGACTAACCTGGCGTCTCAAGAAAGGCTTCGCAAAGGTAGGGGCCCCGGACTAAAAACCCTAAACCCTAAACCCGAAACCCCAAACCCGAAACCCTAAACCCTAAACCCTAAACCCTAAACCCTAAAACCCTAAAACCCTAAACCCTAACCCGAAACACCTACAAGGTGGACTTCCATGTGCTTCAGGCGTTGGGTCCTTCAATGACGGCTATTTCAATAGGACTCAGGTCTCAGGAGCCCAACAGCGTGACTTGGGGGGGGTTCAAGTGTGCAGATTCACGGTTTAGGGTTTAGGGTTTAGGGTCGGCTGTACGTCCGAAACGTTCTAACACGTGTTTGCTAGAACTACCCTACTGGCACCCCCCCCCCCCTCCCTCCCCCCGTGAACCTCTGAGTATGCCCCTCCAGTGCAATACCAGTGTACTCGAATCCCCCAAAAAGGATGCCAGACACATACTCTTACCGAAAAAAAATCTTACCGAAAAAAAAGGGAACCATGTGCACACTTAGGAACAATGGCAACAGAGACCCGACCTTGACATGGAAACGGATTCTTCCGAGCCCCGTAACTGGGGGATCCGGGGCCGTCGCATCTTGAAAATGTCCGTGCGCAGGTGGTCGGTGTCCTGTGTCACGGTCGCCCCCCCCCCCCCCCCCTTGTTCAGAGTTTAAGACTTAGAGCACTGTAAACCCTAAACCCTAAAACCTATGCCCTAAACTCTCTTGTTTGGGGTTGCTGTGATGACGGATGTCGGTACAAAAAATGGGAGCTTGATGCCATCCTCAGGGGCGAACGTAGTAGGGGAAGTGATACCTTTGTGTCTTGTTACCCTAAACCCTAAACCCTAAACCCTAAACCCTAAACCCTAAACCCTAAGCCCTAAACCCTAAACCCTAAAATGCGGGATTGAGGGGTTTGGGGTTTAGGGTTTAGGGAGACGTTAAGTACACACCAAAGAAATTCCACAAAGAGATCCGGCAGGGTGTCAGCGAGCACGGGCCACAGAGCTTCAACAATTCTGGCCCAGATGTGCTTCTCAGCAATGGGGGCCCGAAGGGGGTTTAGGGTTTAGGGTTCAGGGTTCAGGGTTTAGGGTTTAGGGATATTCATAGGGTGTATAGGGCTTCTAGGGTCTTTTTGCTTCAGGCTCCGCCTGTCAAATGCTCAACGGCCACTCCTCCTGCGCTCGGATGATCTGCTTGTTGAGACGCTCGGTGGTGGAGGAGAGAGTCCTCAGGATCTGAAACTGGATGTTGCTTTAAAGCCCTTTGAAAATTGTTTATGCATAGGTTCCCTTCAAAGGGAAAGAAGGGAATTTTAAAATTATCCCAAGCAATACCCAGGAAATCCCGGTCGCGCCCTAAAGTCACGCCACACACGGTCACACGTTACGTGTATCACCTGTGTGTGTCATATGCAAGCATGAACATACATGAAACACAAGCAACCCCGTAATCCATGTAAGCCTCATGTCCCTAAGCCCCTGAGCCCTTGAGGGGCACCAAGGGCCCGCGCTTGCAGTCGTGCTTGCACTGCTCGACCTTATGCAAGTGAAGTAGGGTTTATATTCCTGTTGTTGGTGAGTGTATATAAGGCTCCTTTTTAATATATTCGTGAGTGCTTATGCCTGGTGTCCTTTTGGGAGGGGCTGCTGGGGATGACGTCTTGAGGTTTTCGGGGGCCTCTACTGCAACTGGCCTTACGCTCAAGGACGAGGCACCGACCCTCAACCCTAGACCCTAGACCCTAAACCCTAAACCCTAAACCCTGAACCCTAAACCCTAAACCCTAAACCCCAAACCCTAATTAAACCCTAGACCCTAAACCCTAAAAATCCCTAATGACCCCTAAACACCCTAACAACCCCCCGGCATGCTGGGCCCAGCAGCGTTGGCCAGGACCTCCCTCACGTGGTTCGCGAGCTTCAACTGCAAGGGTGATCCGGTTTGGGCGCAGGGGCTCTAAACCCCCTCGAGCTTAGGGTTTCGGGGAAAAATTTAAGGGTTTAGGGTTTAGTTTGGAAGGTTTCTAGTATTCTTTCTAGGGTTCTTTTGCCATCTGTAGGGGAGTCCTAGCCCACAATTGAACCACATGAGCCCCCCAAAGACGGCAGGAGGCTCCCAAGCCAGCGGCTTCCGCCCGTTTCGGGCCCCCCTAAACCCTAAACCCAAAACCCAAAACCCAAAACCCTAAACCCTAAACCCGAAACCCTAAACCCGGGGCGCCTCCAGATCTTTCTGGCTGCCCCAGAAGTCATCGAGCTGCTTCCTGGCTCGAGCTTTCGGTGCTTCCAGGGCTTACGTGTCGGGGCCACCCAGCTATACAAAGGGCTATAAGGGCCCTCAATTGGGCAAGTCTTCCTACTTAGGTTATGATTCCTTTTTTACCTCAGGTTAGTATAGAAAGGGGGCCCTACTGTCGGATTTAGGGCATAAGCTGGGATGACAGCTGTGTGTTTATGGAGACCTCAGAGACATAAAGCGGGAAGGAAGCCAGAAGGGGCTGCTGTGGCGTTGATGATCGGGGGTCCCCAACACTACATGCCGGAGGAGATCTGGACCTTTCAAGTAGGGGCGGGTGCTTAATTATTATACTAACTTTAGCGAAGCTAAATATAAAACCTAAGTAGTAAAGACTAAGCCCAGTTGTCTTTACATGTAGGGGCCCCCTAGTTGTCTTTACATGTAGGGGCCCCCTAGTTGCCAAGGGCCCAGCTGTAGATAGGGCTATCAGGACCCTTAATTGCTTGTGCTGCGTTCTTGAGCTCAGCGCCCAGTGCAGCAATAAGAACCCAGAAAGGCCACGTGGCAGCCTAGTCAGTCTCCGCCCTGCCGCAGCCACAATGCACAATTGCATTCCGCATCCTCACAACCCTCAACCCAAAAAACCCACCGGTAAAACAAATTAATTAATTATTGATTCATAATTAATTAGTAATTAATTATTGATTCATAATTAATTAGTAATGAATTAACAATTAAGAAGCCCCCTGTTGTTCCACATGTCGCGAGAACTGAACCACTGCCAAGTCTCTTGAACTCGCCCACCAAGCCCAACTTCTCCTCGGCTGAGGACATGCCATGTGAGTCCCGAAGCAGGCCCCGTTAGGGTTTAGGGTTTAGGGTTTAGGGTTTAGGGTTTAGGGTTTAGGGTTTAGGGTTTAGGGTTTAGGGTTTAGGGTTTAGGGCACACGCACCCATCGACCTTAGAAGCAGCAACAGCAGAAGCAGAAGCAGCAGGAAAACACCGAACCAGCTAGGAGCAGAGACAACCGACGACAAAGACGAGACGACAAAAAAGGAGAGGGAGAGGAGCCACACAAAGCAGGCTGCAGCACACTGGCAGGCGGCGGACGCTGCCAGCCCCAAACCCGAAACCCGAAACCCTAACCCTAAACCCTAAGCCCTAAACCCTAAACCTTAAACCCTAAACCCTATAAGCCCTAAGCCCTAAGCCCTAAGCCCTAAGCCCTAAGCCCTAAGCCCTAAGCCCTACAAAGGGGCCTGTTTCGATGCATGTTCGGCTTGGGCCCGGACCATGGCAGTGTGCACGTCTCTGGCCATTAAGGTCCTTGGGGCCGATCGGAGGAACTCCGAGAATCCCCGAAAGAACCTTGAAGTGCTAAGTGCTGGTAAAGTAGAGTTTAGGGTTCAGGCTTTAGGGCTCGGGGGTTTACGGGTTTAGGGGTTTAGGACACCTCAAGCGCACTCCATGTCGCCCCGCGCGGAGTGTATGGAAGAACCCTGAATGCAACGTGGGGGTTGATCCCAACCACATCGTGCCTTTTTGGGTCTCCATGCCAATATACTCCTTCTAGCGTAGGTTGCAAAACAAAAACGCAGAATTTAGGGCAACGCCCATGTGCCGCATGCTATGAACCCTGCCTCTCCACGTCATTCCATCGCTTGGCATGCTGTATAGTACGGGTGCAAGCTGTAGTGCTCTCAGGAGCAGCAAAAAGAGGCGGCACCATGATTTCTAGCAGTCCACCACCACAAGAAAGAATAAACAAATTCTACTAAGACCTTGACCCCCCTCAATGACTTGACTTCGGATCGTGATTTCAAGTCTCTGGCAGGCTCTGGGGTTGCACTTCTTGGTCTTCCTAAACCCTAAACCCTAAACCCTAAACCCTAAACCCTGAACCCTAAAAACCCTCAGAGTTTGGCGGTCTTCTGGTTCTTTTGAGCCGGCAATGGTCTAAACAAGACTTCCAAGACACAACCCTTTACCACAATACCTAAAGCAAAACAGCCACCTGCACAATCCTTATAACCTTCTCCATTAACGTACCCTATAAATTGAGCTGGGGTATGTCCCCAGTAACCAAAAATCCCAGAGACTAATTATGGCCTTGACCGTTACCTCCTGAGGCGTTCGCAGGACGCCGTGCTGGCTCTCTATGCGCTTCGAAAGGTGGTCACCTGCACAAAATAGTGACGTGAGTTCTTCTGAAACCCTAAACCCAAAACCCTAAACCCTAATTAAACCCCAAACCCTGAACCCTAAACCCTAAACCCTAAACCCTAAACCCTAAACAACAGGCGGTGCAAACCTTCGAGATCCTCCTTGACGCATCAAAGCTCAAGCCGCCCATTGCGATTAAAGGGGCCTCATTCACTTAGAATGCGCACTTCGGGCATCTCATGCTACGTTTGTACAACGGGGTTGCACAGATCATCTGGGCATTCCCCCCAAGTAGGGGTACCCCCTGATGCATGGGCATCTCCCCAAGTAGGGGTACCAGCAACATGCCCAGACCCAGGCATCCACAGAGAGCTGTCAGACAGGTCATGAACCCCCGCACTTATACTGCTGGGTCCCCTTCTCCTCGTAACCCAATATGATTCCGACCGAACCTCCAACCCCAAAGCGTGACAGCCGAGCCAGCTTTAGGTCAGCCCTTTTCGGGTACCGCCTTATAATAACCCCAAAAGGGACAATCCTTTTGAGAAGTGACCCTGTCGCTGGGAAGCGTTGCAGAAGCCGCTATCCTTGGCTTGGCCGGCCAAGGCACAGTGATTCTGCATGCGAACCGCGCGCTCCACTGTTGGTGCGACGACCTTCGGAATCCAGCGGCGAAAACAAATGCTTCAAAAAGGACACGCACCCGGAACTTGCTGGAGACCCTTCAATCTGAAACCCCAAGCAATACTCTTCGATAGTAAGCATAGCATGCTGAACTTACTGCGTGCCACTACTCGTTACTCCTAAACCCTACACCCTAAAACCCTCGACTGAACCTTGCGCAAGGAGAGAACATACCTTCCCTAAGGGACCAGAGCCAGGCTTTATAGGGCTCGGGGGGGGTAGGGTTACAGTCTGCCACGGTTGAGGGTTTCGGGCTTGAGGGCTGTAAGGCTTTAGGGTCGCAATTCGCCACAGTGCTACGTTTCGGCGCGATAGCCGTCCTGTGCGGGATGATGGTCGCAGAATCAGAAGGCATGCAGCAGCAGCAGCAGCAGCAGCAGCAGCAGCAGCAGCAGCAGCAGCAGCAGCAGCAGCAGCAGCAGCAGCAGCTGCAAAGCTGTAGCGGCAAAGCTGTAGCCGCAACGCTGTAGCCCTGTAGCAGCGGGATCTCCCCTGCATCATTGCAGCCCCCGAAATCGGCAACCAAAGTCCCCCAACCCTAAATCCTAACCCTGAACCCAGAACTCAGTGCCTATAGCCCCTAAACTGCTTCCTTGTTGGGGTCATATGGAAAATTATCATTGTTTATTCCTTATTGGGAATTTAATAGAACAAACATGTAAAATTATAACCAACAAGGACCCAGTAAACCCTAAAACCCTGTACGTCCGTTGGGAAATATTCCGATGGCGCCTCCAGGACCATCTCCCGAAGGCGGACCTGACTTGGGGGGTTGGGCGGCATAGGGGAGGTTTAGGGTGGGGATTGAGAGGTTTAGGTTAAGGTTAGGGTTTATAGGGTTTAGGTGGGGCGTTGGGTTTTGGCTTGGGGGTAAGTAGACGGGTTGAAGGGTCTACAAAACATGAGGGGCATCGGAGGATTTAAGGCTCTTGGTCGAGGGCGCTCGTGACAGCCTTCTGGGGGTTTTGGGCATAGGCTTCGTAGGGTCAAGGTTCCGGCCCGACCGTGGCAGTACGACTGTAAACTGAATTCGAGTCCACCAAGGCTGATTGGGAGGTATGCCAGGCTTCCCCAGTTTCGGGACCTTGGGATACCCAAACTAAGGCTGGGGAGGCTTGGAGTTCCTTCTTTTGAGATGCGCAAACCGAGAACCCGTCTGGCCTCCAAGCGGGCATGCTTCACTTCATCCTCCTGCCTCTCCTGAGGGATCTGCGAGATTGAAGGTTGCAAAGGGCTTCCTAGTTGTCCAGTAACCTGGGGGAATTACAGGTTAACCTTTGGGATTATAAGGGGATCATACTACCCTAGAAAGGATAAAAGGTTACCTACTCTACTACAGGGGCTTTGCTGAATGATCATTGTACACATTTCGCCGGACATGCACCCTTGATCGACCAGGAATTGCTAGCTTCAACATGTTCATGTCCTACATAATTACTTTGAAAACGCGAGTAAAGCTCCAAAGCAGGCTGCTCATTGACTACGGGAAGGGGGGGACAACAACCGGAATGCAGCATGACGACGATCTGATCTTTGAAGAGGTCACGCATATCAAGCATAGACGTTGTGACGTCTTATTTAGTGATTCGGCCCCATCTGTATAAAGACCCAAAACAGATGCAAAAGCAAGCAGACTGCAGAACCGGCTATCAGTTCACTGGGTGGTTCCCTCACGCGGTTTCAAACTTATAAGCCCTCATACTCCCTTCATTAGTATACTACAACCTTTATCATACTATAATAACCCCCAAAACAGTATTCCAATCATTGGAGCCCCGGGCCCCCTCTATTACATGGCGCAGCAGCCCACAGGTCCTCGCTTCCGGGATTTCGGGTGTAGCGGTGGTGACATTGCCAGGAGATCTTACAGCCTGGAGCCCTAGAGAGTTTCCTTCCTTCCACTGCAGTATGCAGAGGCAACAGTCTTGGAAGGAAGCTTGTCTGCAAACTTCGCACCAGGTCTGACTGAGGTTTGAGGCTTACTAGACGCCCTCAAGTACTCCTTAGCATCCTCTTAATACTCTGGCTACACTTCGGCCCTTGTTGAGGGCTTTGAACCCGCTCAGCATCCGGCTATCTCTTCGACCATGTTGATGTCGCCGAACCTGGCAGGTTTCACAGTGGAGGGCTTCTGGTCTTTGCTATCACTTGGACAACACAGCAGCCGCATCTCGCGCGGGGGGAGCCTTGCGTGGTTCGGGTTTGGGGAGTATAGGTTCTTTAATGCCAGGCCCCTGCCCTGCAGTCCGAAAGTTCGCAGGACTTTTTAAAGGGTAGTTCGTGCGCTCAGCTTGTACAATGCCTCGACCAGATAAGCCTTTGAGCCACCTCGACCAGGAAACGGAACCATTCAGTTTTAGGGTTGAAGGTTTGAGGGATTTAGGCTCTACCTAGAACCCCTCGCCATCCCCGCCCCCCGAGTGCCAGTTGTAAGATGCCCTGAATACCACCTTCAAGACCCTTTCAACCCTACGCGCCACGGCCGACAGCTGGACATCCTCTGGTTCCTAGTAGGAAATCAGGGAGTGAGGTGCCTTACCATACATATATATATATATATATATATATTTTTTTCATCTATATATGTATATAAATACCCTCTAAGGGATGATGTAGAACCCTAAACCCTAAAACCTGATTCTCCAAAACCCTAAACGCTGATTCCCTAAACCCTGAAGCCTTCCGACTAAGAACCGGTGTTAGGCGGAACGCATCAGGGCCCAGGGCTCCGAACCCGGCTGGAGGCGGTCGAGCTACGGAGGCCTGGTCCTTCTTTCGGAGTTGTTTTGGGGTTTAGGGTTTAGGGTTTAGGGTTTGGGGTTATTTCGGGTTTGGGGTTTACAGATTCGGGCTCAGATTTTAAAAAGTTTGGGGCTTCGACCTCAGGGGTTAGAATGCTTTGGGGTTGCGCCCTCACTCTCTTGCTGTCACTCGCTTCATGTGGTGGTTTCCCAGCTTGGGGGTACATCATTGAGGTGGGAACCTACTATTTGGGGTCTATTCTGGGGGTCGCCTATGTTCGTAAACCCCCATGTCTCTCTCGCTCTCTTTCCCACTCACTCTCTCTTCTTATTCTTCTTCTTCTTCTTCTTCTTCTTCTTCTTCTTCTTCTGCTTCTTCTTCTGCTGGGCATGAGGAAGCCCGAAGGCCCCCCGACGAGCGATCGCGCCCCTCCCTCTCTCTCTCTCCCCCTCTCTCTCGCTCTCTCACTGCGAATTCAACGCAGTGGTGACAATACACGTTCGAACACCACAGCACCTAGTGATCCTGACATTGACATTGCCATTCCTGAGCTCAACTCAGTTTTCACTTTGCGGGGTTCATTAGCGGGACATTCGGGCATGTTGGGGGCACAGGCTTCCGGTGCCTGGTGTAGGATGTTTCAGCCATGAGTTCAGTCGTGGGTCTTTTTCGTATCAGGGCTGATCTACATCATGAGCCCTCTGAGGCGGTCTCCCTTACACCAGCCCTTCACAGCAGCACTCAAGCTAGGAACCCACATGTAGTACTGAAGGGGAGATGATCTCAACATCACCCATTTCGGTATCCGAACTGTGCTGAATCGACTGTCGCACCCTAAACCCTAAACCCTAAACCCTAAACCCTAAACCCTGAACCCTAAACCCTAAACCCTAAACCCTAAACCCTAAACCCTAAACCCACCGCAGGAACCAACATTGTCCGGTCCAGGAAGGCCCCCCGCTTCTGGCGGAAGACGGGCTCCGATTCCTGAAGCCAAGACCCCTCCCCGCTCTCACTTAGAAGTACTAATTCGGGTTTAGGTTTTAGGGTTTGGGGTTTCGGGTAAATCCTAAACCCTAAACCCTAAACCCTAAACCCTAAACCCTAAACCCTACATGAGGCTTCGGGTAAACCATTGGGTTTCAGGCCGAGTCTGGAGCTTCTTGCGGGAAAGGCCAAGTTGTAAGGAGTCGGGTTGTCGTGGACCAAATGAACCCTAAAAGGGATTATGGCTCGTATACCCTAGTAGGGATTCTAGCAGTACAAGGTAGACGACCCCGATTCTGGGGTTCATCTGGTCCACAAACTAGGGAGGACGAAGCGACCTCCAGTACCCTGAGTTGAAACTGCGCCGGGCTTTGAGGCCTTTGCTCGACCAGGATGGGCTATTCGGCCTTAAAATCCCCATGACGAACCCTATTAAGGGCCGTTTAAGGGATTATAGGGCATATTAGCCCATCCTGGGAAGGTCCATAGGTGCTTAGGGTTTACGGATTAGGGATCCGGGTGGGGTTAGAGAAGTATCCGGATCACGGTGACATATCAGTGCTCTTAGTAACGTTATAATGAGATTTAGTATAGTTCTATAACTCCCCGAATTCAGGTTGCCGATTCTTCGTCTTATATTTAACAGGTTGGGTGACAGGTGTCCTAAATTCACTGTTTGGACAGACTTTAGGCCACCTTACCTATAACTCTGCCTATACAACCGCTTTTCCGGGCTTCTAGGCAAGCATACGCCACGTAGGCGCCGGACTGCCATGCTGCCAAAGAACCTGGCGTTGCGGGTCTGCGCCATGTTCTAGAAACCCTTATAAACCCTAAACCCTAAACCCGAAACCCCTTAAACCCCTAAACCCCTAAACCCTATCTCTTTGGTCGGACTCCTTGCGTGCCCTGACACCTACGAACCCCACCTGGTGGACCAGATGAAAGCTAAAATTGGGGTCATATACCCCATATACTACGTTTAGGGTTTAGGGTTCAGGGTTTATAGTAGCTATACTCCCTATTGGTGTGTATGAACCCTAAGCTCTTTTAGGGTTCACGGAAAGCACGGCACTCCAACACAGGAAGCGGGACCGGGAGAATCGAGCCTGAGGGGAGGAGAAGAAAAGAACTTGCTGAAAAAAAGCCACACTGCCTCCCCCCCCCCCCCCCCCACCATCCCCCCACCCCCCCCCCCTCCCCTTACCACCTCCCAAACCTTGCTTGCCTTTGGAGGTTCGCGTGGTTGGACCCGAGAGCCGATTCATGTCCATCATCTATACCCCACGGAGCAACCCCAAACCCCGAACCCCCCCTCCCCCCACAACTTCCATCCCAAACCCAGAACCCTCCTTGAGGGCTTCAAGGTTTAGGGCTTAGGGTTGCTTGGGGTTGCTTAGGGTCGCTCAGGGTCGCTTAGGGGTGCTTAGGGGTGTTTAGGCGTGTTTAGTGGTGTTTGGGGGTTGTTTCGGGTCTTCTCCGAAAAGCCTGGACCGCAAACCGCCAGCCCCCCCCCACCCCCTCCAGAAAAAAAACAAACAAGACCAGGCCCGACCTCGGTGTTCGGGCGCACAACGCCAGGCAGCAACAGCACAAGGGGAATGCGTAACAACTTACAAACGCTTGAGACCTTTAGCTTTCGTAATCCCTTATTGTGTTGTATTCGCGGGGTGGGGCCCGGGGTGGGGGTTATAGAATGTACCTGATTCCATCATTCCCGAATAAAACGAGGAGGGCCCAGGTGTTCTGGGACTACAGTAGGCTTTGTGGTGTTCTGGCAAGATTGAGGTGTGAATGTTGTCTTGGAGCATCTGCTCCTCTTGTGTCACGAGCCGAAAGCATTTGCAGCAAGCTCATCTGGAAGGCCCTGTCTACAGCAGGTCGAGTAGGCCGAGGGGGCCACGTGAAAATGGTACCGGAGGCTTCAGGGCCACTAGCTTTGTCAACGGTCACCGCTCGGGCAAATGATTGCTCTTTGGCGGACTTTGCCCGCAAGCAGTCGAACGCGTGAAACACTTGCCCTGAAGTTCAGGGCAGGGAAGGCCGGACCAGCCCAGGTTTCAAGCTATTGCGACCTTTCTAGGGTTGTAGGGTTTAGGGTTTGGGCTTAACTCGCGCGTAGGTCTGAGCAGAATTGTCCTTCACGACTAAATGTACAATGCACCACGTCGGCGGACACATGCCCACGCTCGCTATGCCATGTCAACGTGGCCGGTATAATATTATCTTGTTCTTCTTGGAATATGCTATATTATATGACATGCTTTACCTTATGTTACCTTACTAAGTTGAAGTATGGCACCAGCTTGTACTGTATTCTTCCATCGTTCACAGGTCGCTCTCCACGAGCTCATGCGCTCGACTTGACGGCCGTGAGCACCTGAGCCATGAGGCTGACATCCAAGTCCGGCCATGGGGTACAGAGACTAAACCCTGAACCCTAAACATTAAACCCTAAACCCTAAACCCTGAAGCCTGAACCCTAAACCCTAAACCCGAAACCCTGAACCCTAAACCCATCCTTGAACCTCACACCCTCAGCCCCTAAACCCCAAAGCCCAACACTTGCGCAACCCGCGACTGGCATGGTGATCTTGGGGTCCAGGAGCCGAGGTTTCTGTCCCTGTTTCAGCCCAGCCTTTCGACCCACAACGCCCGCGATAAACCCTCTATGAGCAGCCGTCAAAAATCCACATGTCGGGCCTGGGTAGCGCAAGTGGGGGGGGGGGGGGGGGGTGGAGGGGGGGGCCTGGCTTTTCGGTGTTCACCGTCGCTTTACAAGGGATTTTGATGGCTTTGTTCTGGGCTTCACAGGGGTTTGTGTCGACGGCCAGCGAATGATAGCGATGGACTGATGTTTCTGCTGTGGGTACTGTAAGCGGCGCTGCTTTTCGGTGTTCCCCGTCGCTTTACAGGGTTTTTTGATCTTCAGCATGGAAATGCCCTGACAAGGGTAAAGCCGCCAGCCGCAAGTACCCCAGTTTGGACCCTTGCTCATAGAGACAGGTCTGTTAGGGTTGTCTAGGGTTCTTGGGTTGTAGGGCTCGCCTTTTGTAAAGTAAGGCTTTCAGGTCCTCTGGGGCTGTTTAGGATTGTGTGGCTCGCCTCCTCTTCGTCGGAGGAGTCAGACTCACTGGGGATGGCGTCGTCAATGCCCAGATCTGCCTGGCCGGGCTTGGGCTGACTCCAGAGTTTAAGGTTTAAGGTGCTTGGGGGGGGGGGAGGGGGGGCGTGGAGGGTGTCCTTAGTGGGGATTCTGGTTCCCCACCTGTCTTAAAATCCTTATTAAAGGACTGTTAGTAATTAGTATAGAGGGGAACATACCAAAAATATGCCCAAGCAAGCCTCAGCAATGCATCAACGCCTCACACCCCCCTTCCCATATGCCGAAACTCTATATTAGCGACAGACAAAATCACACTACACGGTGCGAGGTCGCGAGATACCAAATTATCGCTTTAGGTGGGGCCCATATCGCTTTACATACTATGGGACTGGGGATGCATGTATCTAAATGTGCAAACAAATGTAATCGCTTTAGGTGGGGCCCATGTCGCTTTCCATGGTTTACCAACTCGTGTCCACCGTAGTACTGGCTTCAAGAAACATAATTTTGGCAGGCGCTCATATAAACCCTTAAACAAATTAGGGTAGTTATGGGCCCTTATAAACGGGGACCCCCTATACACCCCTTACAGCATATACCCTGTACAACCCAACTTAAGGGGTTATACTACAGAACCCTTTAAAGGAGGTAAGCGACCATATTAAGGGCCTATCCTAAACCCTAGCCCCAAACCCTAAACCCTAAACCCTAAACCCTAGACCAAAAACCCTAAACCCTAAACCCTAAACCCTAGCCCTAAACCCTAAACTACTAAACCCTAAACCCTACACCCGGGTTCCTTATGATAACCCCCATGCGCCTCGCTTTCAGCGCGCTGTGAGCTGCCCTGACGGCTCGCGGCGCTGTTGGGCCTGCTGTGGGGTTCGGGGTTTAGGGTTTAGGGTGTGGGGTTTCGGGTTTCGGGTTTCCAGCTTGGGTTTAGGATATATGATAACAAGTGAAGCTTCAAACTATTCTTATTCTTGCTGATTACTCACTCTTGTTCTTGCTCCTAGTCTTGTTCTTCTTGTGCATATCACTTGCATGGTTCTCCACCCCTGGTTTTTGCCCGTCTCCTGATGATTTTGACATCTCGCGTGAGGTTTTATGAGGTAAACCCTGTTTAACCCCCAAACCCCAAACCCTAAATCCTAAGACCCGCTCATCCTTGGCATTTCAGCCCCCCCCCCCCATTCCCCTTCCCCTCCTTCCCTACGCCCCCCTCTCCCCCCCCCGCCCCCCAACTCCCCTTCCCTACCCCCTTCCCCAACCCCCCCACCCCCGGCGCAAACGGCCTGGAGTCGCTGTTCGCCACCCGTAAGATGCCCGCGCCGAAAGGCGGCGGCGTCCTCCACGAGCTGGCAGATTTTATCGTTTAGGGTTCGTATGATAGGTTTTTGTGTCTTGATAGGGGGTGTTTAGGGTTGTTCTTAGGGTTCTGATAAGGGGTTTCTTCTAGGGTTCTTATAGGGTTGTTTAGGGTTCGTAAATTTTAAAGGCTTTTGGATGAGTGTGTTCTAGGGCTTTAATCGGTCTATAGGGTCAGGGTTCCTGGATAGGAGACAGGCGTTCAGAGGGCTGAGGGTTCGGGACATCGACCAGCATGCTCCGAACGAACCACATCCCCAAGTCGAGGCGCCCTTCAGCACGGTAGCCCAGTAACCATATCATAAAACCCTAAACCCTAAACCCTAAACCCTAAACCCTAAACCCTAAACCCTAAACCCTAAACCCTAAACCCCTTTTTTTGGGTTGGGTACTAGAGAGAAGGGGCACCCAGCACCCCAAAACAAAAGGGTAAAGGGTACCACTGGGCCAAGAGAAGGAGATCCTCAGAATTTCGGACCAGGATGTGCTGCGAACCCTTTTAAGCACTGCCGGACTCCGACTCCACAGAAGGGGCTGTGGCTTGCAGGGCTTGGGGCCGGGGCGGGGTTCCTGGTTCATTATGGAGTTCCAGGGCCCGAAACCCAAAGCCCAAAAACAGCCGCAGTAACCCTAAACCCTAAACCCTAAACCCTAAACCCTAAACCCTAAACCCTAAACCCTAAACCCTAAACCCTAAACCCTAAACCCTGCCCCAAGCTCCTCTGCACTTGGCATGCCGGGCTCGCGCTGCGAGACTGCTTCGCCAAGGGATGGGGGATACCGCGACCTGACCGAAGGCCATGGGAGGAGGTCCATTCTGTAGGGTTTGGGGTTTAGGGTTTAGGGTTTAGGGTTTAGGGTTTAGGGTTTAGGGTTTAGGGTTTAGGGTTTAGGGTTTAGGGTTTAGGCCTTGGGGACTGAACCCTGAAAGGGTGAAAGTATAGGGTTTGGGGTTAGGGTTTAGGGTTCAGGGCAGTTCTAAGGTTTTGCAATGTGAAACCTTTCAGATAGAAAGGCCCCACAGTGCCTCAAACCCTCAACACTCCCACATCAGGTCTGTATTAAGTACCCACAGGCTCGAATTATAGTCAGAGCTGACCTTGTTCGTTTGCGCGGCTTAAAGGCTCAAGCATAAAGGGTTTAGAGGGGTGACATTTCCCAAAAAACACAACATGTTCAAATCAAAGCGTGTCGTGGTGGTGCGGATTTCGGGCTTAGGATTTTAAGGCTAAAAAGAACAAATGCCATTGAACTCTTATATTTGCAAGAACCTCAATGAGCAATCTAGGAACCCTAATCCTTTTGACACACCCAAGAAACTTGAATCCTACACAAAAGGCCGCATTTACGAGGCCCAGAAATTTTAAACTTTCTTTCGGGCTTTGGGTTCAGGGTTTTGGGGCTTTACGGTTAGGCTTTCTCATAGAAAAACTTTCTTATCTTCCTACTTCATGCGGGAAGTAGGTACCCTTCTCGCCCCAAGTCACCATCTACATGTAGGGCCCTCTAGACACAACCCTTACTACTTGGGTTCTAACTGCCTTAACTAAAGTCATTATAGTAAAGGGGAGAACCCTGTTCGTAACCCCCTAACCCTAAACCCTAAACCCTAAACCCTAAACCCTAAACCCTAAACCCTAAACCCTTAAACCCGAAACCCTAAACCCTACTTGCAGCGCATCAGCCCTTGCGGCGCCTGCGCCGGGCTTCCTCACGGGGACGCTGCCGCCCCGGCGAATCGCACCTGAGCGGAAAATGAGAATTCGCAGCTCGGGGGTTTGGCACCTGAGTCTAGGGGTGCGAGTTCCACAGGGTTTAGGGTTCCAGGGTTAGGGTTTAGGGTTTGGGGTTTAGGGTTTGTCAATCCCAAAAGCCTCAAGTCCCACAACAAAATTTCGGTCAAGGGGGGGGGGGGAGGGGTGCAGGTGAAACCCCGACTCTGGGCTACCCGCCGGGCGGGAGCCGCCCCTCCGAGGCACCTGCTCGAGACTGGTTTCGGGTCTAGGGTTTAGGGTTCAGGGGATAGGGATGAGGGTTTAGGGTTTAGGGGTGAGAGGCTTAAGGAGTGAGGGCGAAGTTCTTTGCCCTAAGACGCCCTACATGTAGGGGCCCCCTAGTTTAATAATAGGGTTTTTAAGGGGCCTTAATTGGGTTGTAAGTCTTACGATTTAAGACATAATTCTCTTAACTAAAGTTAGTACCACAAGGGGGGGCCCTACTTGTAGGCCCTCACAACCCTACCTGGACCCCAGAAAGCATCCCTCAATACGAAGGCCTGAGGGAACCTTACTTATCTTAGAGGGTACTTTGGAGGTCTCGCCTGAACTGAAACTAGGCCTCATATCAAGTGGTGGACGGCTCATTCACTCTGAGTATGCTGGGGTGAGCAACCTACTGAGGGATCTACCCTCATGCTTCGCCTGCCAGAGAGGACCCTATTCCAATGATGTTGACGATGCCCGTACGGGAGGCGAAACGGAAGGCGTATTCCCCAAGGAAAATGTCAGACAGAAGAGAACCCCAAGCCCTGAACCCTAGCCCCAAACCCTGAGAGCTTCAAGGCCTGGCCCTTGGTTCTGCGCGTCATGAGGATGGCAGCAATTTCGATGTTTTTGGGTTTGGGGTTTGGGGTTTATGGTTTAGGGTGGCGAAACGCTCATGCTCAAAGCCTTCGCTGCGGCGTAGGTGTGGGGTTTATGGACATCCTGACATCCTTCTTCGAGCAACTGAGGTTCAAGCAGTGGATCTACCTGCCTCAAGCTACCACAGGACCGTGAAAAACCGTGAAGCAGGCTAGGATTAGAATTAGGCTTCATGCTTTGGTGCTGTAGGGTTGAGGGTGTGAAGGCTTGGGGTTCACGCCTTAAGGCTTTAGGCTTTAGGGTTTGAGGGCTTGGGGGCTTGAACATTAAGGGAAAGTGGCACAAAGCGAGCCTGCTTTTTGATAGCCGCCGGCAAGCGGCCTTCAACGGAGGATTTCGGCCCACATTCTCACATCCCAAAGAGCCGAAGTTTCACGCCCTGTTTCTTATAGGAGATCAAGGCAGGGGGTTTAGGGTTTAGGGTTTAGGGTTTAGAGTTTAGGGTCTTGACAGCCAGCCAGCTACAGAATTTTTGGAGTGTCAGAACTTTTGAAGATGACATGGGTGGCGCCAGCGAACATGCTTCTTTCATTCTGCGTTCTACAGGAATAGCTTAAACAAACTCCCTAAACCCTAAACCCTTAACCCTAAGCCTTAATCCCTAAAACCTAAGCCCTACTAGTAAAGCCTAAACCCTAAACCCTAAACACCTGGCAGAAGGAACTGCTCGTACAGCTGCCGGCTAAGTGTCCCAGATGCCTGTTGCGCCTTTCAAGATTCAGAACCCTAAACCCTAAACCCTATTAGCTAAACCCTAAACCCTAAACCCTAAACCCTAAACCCTAAACCCTAAACCCTAAACCCTAAACCCTAAACCCTAAACCCTAAACCTAAAGCCTGCTTATGACTGCGCCCTTCTCCAGTATTCTCTCGACACTGCAGGTCGCCCAACAAAATTGCCCAAACATCATCCTGAAGCGTTTTAAAAGGACAGGGGAGGAACGATTGCCCATGAGTGCCCCAAAACCCTATACCTTGTCTACATGAATGCTTAAAACTTAACGAAACGTTTTGGTTTTGAGAATCTTTTCCTCTCCCCCCCCCCCCCCACCCAACACCAACCTTCGAAGACTCGTCTAGGACCCCTCGGGGGTCCCTGCACGGGACTGGGATTCTGGGAGATGGGTCCGCTGAAAAAATCTTGCTGAAACCCTCCCTGCACACTTCGTTCTGGTGCCTTTCTGGGCACCCTCTGACACACAGACACACACACACACACACACACACACGAAATCAAATCTTCATGAAGGAGGAAGTTTGTGGAGGCACGCGCGTAGACAGTGGCCTGTCAAGAAAGAAAACTGCGATTTCTGGGGAGGGTTTGGTGATTCTAAACACATATGTGATGTAAAGGGGCCTTGCGAATCGCCCAGGCCAATAACCCTTAACCCTAAACCCTAAACCCTAAACCCTACACCCTAAACCCTAAACCCTAAACCCTAAACCCACAATAACCCTACACCCTAAACCCTAAACCCTAAACTTCATTCACAGACCAGGGGCTGCGGCAGGCTTTCCGTGGCGCTCCGGCTTCGGCTACCTCGGCAAGGCAGGCCCCAAAATCACCGGATTTAGGGGGCGGATTTTGGGGTTTTGGGTTGGGATGTTCCGCCATGTACTACAAGTCCTTAATAGGGATTGAAAGGGGGGGTACTAGACTTAATCTCTATTAAGGACTGTTGGTATAAAGGGGACCAGCCCAAGTTTTGGTGGTTTGGGGTTGAGGGATTTAGGGTTTTGGGGTTTTAGGGTTCAGGGTTTTGGGGGCTTTCAGGGCTTAGGGGTTTAGCGGGTTGCGGGGCTTTAGGGCCTGAGGGGGTTTAAGGTTTGGGGCTGAGGGTTTTAAGGTTTAGGGGTTTAGGGCTTTGGGGTTTTAGGGTTTAGGGTTTAAGGTCCTTCACATGGGCCCTGCATTGGGGCAACCTTAACTACTATCCCTTATATTAACCTGAATCAAGAGAGCAACAGAAACACCCGAGACAAGTGGGGTTTGTGGGCTTTGCAGGGTTCAGGGCTTAGGGGTTCAATCAGACTGCGGCAGCGCCCCAAACAGAATCTACACCGTCCCACACCTGCCGAAGCCTTCTTAGGGTTTAGGGTTTAGGGTTGATGGTTGAGGGTTTAGGGTAAGCCCTGATTCTTCGAAACAGGTTGAAGCACTGAGCCTCGAAACCACAAGGGCCCTGGCCCGGGCCGCGCGACCTTTCGCTCGCGGCGCTCGCCGCGGAACCGCCAGTGCCGGGGCGACTGCCCATGGAGTGATACAGGGTTTTGGGGTTTTAGGCCTGCGGAACTTACGTCCCAATTTTGGGTCTGCATTGTAGGGGAGGCTGTCTGAACTCAAGAGAGATGCATGCAAACGCAATGCTCCCAATGGATGTGCTAAGCTGAAGCTTCAAAGAGACAATGGAGAACGACTACGATGCAGAATGCCTGCAAGGAGAGGAACTTGGTAGCCCCTGTAAGGGCACCCTTTTTGGGGTTGACTACTTTATGCGGGAACCGTGAACCAAAAAAAGGGAAAAGGGTACCACTGGGCTACCAAAGGAACGAACACACTGCCTTGAGCGTCCCGGTAGAGGGGGCAGCTGGGAGGCCGCGGGAGGCCTCGGCAAAACCATCCTGACATTTACATGGGGCTTGCCCTCAACTAACCTTGACACAGGAAGTCATATTGTAAAAGATATCATGTCCCTATAGAAGCAAGGGGACCCCAATCCTCACCCGCTTTGAGGGTGGCGGCCTTTGGTATGAAGGATGTCTTTTTTTCTCCACTTTCTTGGGACATGCAACACAGAGTCGCCGTTCCACGACAAACCACCCGAAAGCCTAAACCCTGAACCCTAAACCCCTAAACCCTAAACCCTAAAGCCTAAACCCTAAACCCCCAAAAAAACTCCCTAAGCTGGACCGACCGGGAGGCGCACGCAATAGAGGGGTAGGTGCTGGAGGACCCCCATAGAAAGGGGGCCCCTACTTGTAAGCCCTAAACCCTAAACCCTAAACCCTAAACCCTAAACCCTAAACCCTAAACCCTAAACCCTAAACCCTACCCCTAAACCCTAAACCCTGTCTTTCGGCCCAAGCGGCCCCTCCTCTTCAGGGACCTCCTGCGCTGCCGCCGCAGGAGCCGCCTGGGAAGCCTGTCTCGCGATATGCTTCTTCAACCCTAAACCCTAAACCCTAAACCCTAAACCCTAAACCCTAAACCCTAAACCCTAAAACCCTAAACCCTAAACCCTAAACCCTAAACCCCTAAACATGCACACACCTATACATACATGCATGCATGCATACATACATACCTTGCGCACAACCTACATAGTATATATTAGTGTACTACATATACATATATATGTATACACACATTGTGCTGTATAGTTTTAAGTGTTACGATCCTGCATTTTCTTATGTTCTACAGAGCTATTTGTGAGTTTTTGTTTCCTTCTACAACTATACGTTTACGTGTATTGGCATGCTCATATTTATAGCCACTGGGTATGTAGTCGGGCAGACACTGGGCATGTCGCAAGAAGCTGGGCGAGACTCGCTGTAGCATAGAAGGGATCACCAAGTTCGACTCGCGAAAACAACCCCAAACCCTAAACCCTAAACCCTAAGCCCTGAGCCCTAAGCCCTAAGCCCTAAGCCCTGAGCCCTAAACCCTAACCCTAAACCCTAAAGGTCCCACTCAACTGCCCCGACACAGTGGCCAGTCGCGGTCCGGGGAATGCCAGGCGGCGACAGGGCAATGAGCATCGGCAATTGGAGATTTCCCAAATGGGGACCCCCCTATCGGCCGCAAACAGATTACAGGGGAATAGGGTTTAGGGTTAGTCCTTGTTATAGCAACCCTAGAGGAGGTACTCCTGTCTCATGAAGTGTGTCTTTGTCGAACAACACTAGTCCATTATGCGTTTGATCTGGTTTCGCTACAAGCGAGAGTCAAGATAAACACGAACCGGGGGAATTCGTTGAAGAGTGTTTAAGAAGTAGAGTTTCGGGTTTAGGGTTTAAGGCCAGCCTCCAATTCACGAATCCGCTGCTTCTGCTCGCAGCACAGCGCATGCAGCCTCCAAGAATGCATCAGAAAATGGGGTCGTCGGGCTGATCCTCGAGAATTACATGTAGGGACCCTAAGTTATAAATAGGGTTATCAAGGGCCCTTCATTGGTTTACAAGTCTGACTACGTAGGTTCGATTACCCTTAAAAAAAGTTTGTATACTTTTCACTATATTTCTAACTAGGGGCCCCTACATGTAAACCCTTTTGGAATTGTCGTGGGATTTTCAAAGGATCGATTTAGCAAACCTCCCAATTGGAGCCGCCTAGCCTCGTGACCCCCCCCCCCCCCCCCGAAAAACCCCAAACCCTAAATTGGGGCTTCCCAACTATGTGTGTTGCAGGGAGGGTCCTTATAAAGGGGGCTATACTCTGTTAGGGGGACACCCCGTAGTTGGGGTCATGCCTACGTGTCTGAAAGCTAAGCCCGAGAAGCACAAACTTCAGCATGTGGGTTGTTCTCTAAATTAGGGTCCAGCGTGCCGCCTTATAGTGGGTACCAAAAAAGGGATTCGGAAACTGCCCATGTTGGGGCAAGGGTGGGAGGGGGATCAAGCAAGCAAGCATGAAGGTTGATGACTCAACAGCACTCGTCGAGTGTACCTCCAGATGCTTGCTTCCTAAGCCCTAAACCCCCCAAACCCTAAACCCTAAACCCTAAACCCTAAACCCTTCCTCAATTCAGGGTTTAGGGCTTGGGGTCTTTGCACCTTTGGACTTCCGTCTGCAAGTCCTGGCAACGCGCTTCGGCCTCCGAGCCGGGTGCGGGCAAAACATGTGGCTGAACTCAGGGGCGACTTGGGGGTTTAGGGTTTAGGGTTTAGGGTTTAGGGTTTAGGGTTTAGGGTTTAGGGTTTAGGGTTTAGCGTTTAGGGGTTAGGGTTAAGGGGTTTAGGGTTTAGGGTTTAGGGTTTAGAGTTTATCCCTCTAAACCCTGCAGGCCCGCTATACACCCGGCAAACCCTGCAAACCCCCACAAGCCCTCTAAACCCTGCAAAAAACAAAAACCTGGGGGCCAATGTTAGGGGTCATATCCCCTATACTACTATAATTCCCATTCGGGCAGTACGAACCATGAACCGTTTTAGGGTTCATTTGGTCCCCAAGGAAACCTAAAACCCTAGACCCCAAACCCTGAACCCTAAACCCTAAACCCTGAACCCTAAACCCTGAACCCCTAAACCCTGAACCCTAAACCCTAAACCCTGAACCCCTAAACCCTGAAACCCAAAACCCTGAACCCTGAACCCTAAACCCTAAACCCTGAACCCTAAACCCTGAAACCCTGAACCCCAAACCCTAAACCCTAAAACCCCAAAACCCTTCTAGGGTTCATTTGGCTCCCAAGGAAACTTCATTTCATGGCGAGGCCTCGTCAGCTCTCAACGCTTCCTCGCGGCCGCGCCTCAGTCGGTTCGATCTCTTTGCCCCCGGTTGTTCTTTGTCTTGTAATTGGCTTGGGTTTAGGGTTTAGGGTTTAGGGTTTAGGGTTTAGGGTTTAGGGTTTAGGGTTTAGGGTTTAGGGTTTAGGGTTTAGGGTTTAGGGTTTAGGGTTTAGGGTTTAGGGTTTAGGGTCTAGGGTCTAGGGTCTAGGGTTTAGGGTTTAGGGTTTAGGGTTTAGGCTTTAGGGTTTAAGGTTTAAGGTTTAGGGCCACTAAACCACTCCGACCACAGCCCCCTGAAACCCCAAATATTTCAGAGAATGCCTGATCTCGATTGGTCTGCGCCCTCGCTTGGCTTCGTTCACCCTCCTCCCCCTTGACTTGCTGATCCGAAGTGTGGGCCCTTAATTTGAGTCCCTTGTTATAAAACCCTTGTAGACACTATATATATATATATATGTGTTTATGTTTACATTTATATATATAGTAAGGGTCCATACTTCGCATCCCTATAAACAAGGGTAAGGGGCCACACTGGGAGCCCATGGTTCAAACCTTAGGTTGACCCAAAGGGTTTCAGGGTCTACGGTTTAGGGCAGGGGGGAAGGGCTCGGGGCATTGGATTAGGGTTTAGGGATGATGGTTCTGTGTAGAGTTTGCCTTAACGGCAGGCCAGCTGCTCTTCGTGATGTTTGGCCAGCTCCTCGACAGTCTGCTTGGCCTCACGAACGGAAATGGTTTAGGGTTTAGGGTTTAGGGTTTAGGGTTTAGGGTTTAGGGTTTAGGGTTTAGGGTTTAGGGTTTAGGGTTTAGGGTTTAGGGTTTAGGGTTTAGGGTTTAGGGTTTAGGGTTTAGGGTTCTGCAGAACTGGCGAAGGGCCTTCGGGGGTTTAGGGTTTCGGGTTTGGGGTTTTAGGGCCTTGAGGGTTTTGGGGGAAAACATCCTGCTGTCAGCACCCTCTGCGCATCCCACGCCTGTGAAGGCTCTCCAGCCCAAGGGCCGAAACCCAAGTCTCACGGCTTTGATGAGCTTCAGATCCCTAAACCCTAAACCCTAAACCCTAAGCCCTAAACCCTAAACCCTGAACCCTGAACCCTAAGCCCTAAACCCTAAACCCTAAACCCTAACGAGAGCCAAAGCCCCACCCAGACTCGAATCCCTACACCCAGAATAACACAGAGAGTTCTTTCTCGCCTGGTGACGCTAATCTCCATGTTGCAAGATCAACGATCTAACATACATATACATGGGTGGTTGTCACAATTCTGGTCCCTGTTGGGGTCCCTAATATAACACGGCACCGAATATCCCGAAAGGGATCATAATTTTGACAACCACCCAAATAAATAAAAACGATACTTAGGCTTAGGGCCCTGAATGAAGGGGCACTTCTTAGGCCTAAACCCTAAACCCTAAACCCTAAACCCTAAACCCTAAACCCTAAACCCTAAGAGCGCCTAGGGGAGCATGGCCTGCTGGCTCTGCTTCAGCTTCTGCTGGAACTCCGCGTCCCGACTCTTCGCGCTTCCCGCTCTCACCTCCGCATGGAGCGGGGGCTTGGCCGGGTGGCTGCAGAGCTCGGGGGCTAGGGTTTAGGGTTTAGGGTTTGGGGTTTAGGGTTTAGGGATTGGGGTTTGAGGGTTTAGGGTTTGGGCTTGAGGGTTGGGGGCTGATTTCGGGCCAGGGACGTTCAGAACCCTTCGAAGCCCGTGCTCCAACACCTTTCCGGTCCTGACATGTGGGTTTAGGGTTGGGTGTTTGGGGTTCGGGGTTTAGGTTTAGGGTTTGGGGATTGGGGTTGGGGGGGTTTGGGTCGGGAAGTTGGAGAGGTGACACCTCTAAGGGGAGTTCTCTAGATTGCGGTTGCTTTTGCGGTCCCATGGGTGCCGCGTTATATAGAGGACCGTTCGAATTAAAAGCGACCCACATCTACAAATTACCAATACCCTGCATCACGCGTCTGAAGCACTTTGACCCTAAACCCCGAACCCTAAACCACAAACCCCAAACCCTAAACCCCCAACCCTACACCCCAAACACTAAACCCCAAACCCTAAACCCTCAAACCACAAACCCCAAACCCTAGACCCCAAACCCTGAACCCCAAACCCTGAACCCTACACCACAAACACTAAACCCCAAACCCTAAACCCAAAAGCCTAAACCCCAAACCCTAAACCCCAAACACTAAACCCCAAACCCTAAACCTTAAACATCCAACCTAAACCCCAAGCCCCAAGCCCCAAACCCCAAACCCCAAACCCTAAACCCCAAACCCCAAACCCTAAACCCCAAACCCTAAACCCCAAACCCTAAACCCCAAACCCTGAACCCCAAACCCTAAACCCCAAACCCTAAACCCTAAACCCCAAACCCTCAACCCCCAAACCTGCCCAACGCCTTCTCCTCGAGCTGCAGGCATCGCTCCTCCAGCTCGAGGCGGCGCCCGCTCTCCTCCTGAGCCACCACGAAAGGCAAGGGTTGAAAGCGTTTAGGGCTTAGGGTTTAGGGTTTGGGGTTTAGGGTTTAGGGTTTAGGGCTAAGGGTTTAGGGTTTAGGGCTAAGGGTTTAGGGTGAAGATGGGGGGAAGGAGTGTGCTGGCGCCCAGCTGTGGCGTATTAGGGCAGCACGGAACCCTTCGTGCCTCGTATCGTCGGACGACGTCCTGGCCACCGGCCTCACGATTCGGCTGCGTAGCTTCGGCGCGCTGGCTGAGTTCGGGGGCTTTCCGGGCTTGGACACGCCAGGGAGAACTCTCAACTCTGAGCAGCCATTGTTGTTAGCTAGGATGGCCCTTGAAACCCTCCGAAAAATATTCCTGAACATGACCCTCTTAAACCCACTAAGGGGAAATCTAACATGGGCCTACCTAGTTAGGCCGTGCGTGTGCGTTGGCATGCGAAGCATGTCGGAACCAGAGCCCGTTTTGGAGCTACGCCGATAGACGCGCTCACCCAGGCATGACCCCCTTAAGCCTGGGTTTAGGGTTTAGGGTTTAGGGTTTAGGGTTTAGGGTTTAGGGTTTAGGGTTTAGGGTTTAGGGTTATTATACCCTATAATCCCTTGACAGGCGCCTCATATAGGGTTCATTATGGGGGTTTTAAGGCCTAATGGCCCATCCTGATCTGCGTCTTCACTGGAGGTCCAACAGACTTCCGGCAGGCATGAGCAGATTGCGTACAACCTTGCAACCTCTTCGCCCCTAAACCTTGAACCCTAAACCCTAAACTCTAAGCCCTATTCTTCGTCAACAAAACCCACTGGTTCTATGGCAGCTCAACACGCAATCTAAGTAGTCGTGGTACATAGGCACGAGCGAATTCCCAGCATAAGCTGACAGACACGGCATCTTTGCAAAGCCCTACAAGCTCTGAACAAACCAAGGTGGAAGCAAGCATGATACGCAGTGGCAGATCCTACTTACCTGAGAACCCATCCCTAAACCCTAAACCCTGCACCCTACTGAGCCAAACTGAGCCCTAAACCCTAAACCCTAAACCCTAAACCCTAAACCCTAAACCCTAAACCCTAAACCCTAAACCTGCTCCGGAGGTGCAGGAGGGGTCGCGGGCTGGGCCCTAGGGTGGCCCGCCTTCACGCGAGAAAGCTCGGACTTGGTCGCGGTCAGCTCCTGCGGCACGCTGCAAGGGCCGCATGCAACAGGGTTCGGGTTTAGGGTTTAGGGTTTAGGGTTTAGGGTTTAGGGTTTAGGGTTTAGGGTTTAGGGTTTAGGGTTTAGGGTTTAGGGTTTAGGGTTTAGGGTTAAAGGGTTTAGGGTTTAGGGTTTAGGGTTGAGGGTTAAAGGGTGAAGGGTTTAGAGACTCCAGGCGTTATAGGGATCAGGGTTGAGAGCGCAGGGGGTCAGTGTTCCGTTCAGGGTTGAGGGATCAGGTGTTGAGGTGCAGGGCTTCGGCTTCTAACTATTGCAGATGAAGATACGATGTTCAGTTCTCAAAATGATGGTCCCTTGTGTGTTTTTGGGTGCCCTCCATCTTGGTTATTCGGGAATTGGAGGCCGCCTTCTAATAGCAGGCACACAAGGGACCATACTTTAGAGAAGTGACCATGTAGGTTTAGGGTTTAGGGTTTAGGGCTTAGGGCTTAGGGTTTCGGGTTTTGCGCGCCCCGGGGCTTTTTGCTTAAGCAGGGCGCTGGGTCTCCGAGGCGTGCGGAAAGGAGGCAGGACGTTCAGTCACAAAACATGGGATGGGGGTTTAGGGTTTAGGGTTTAGGGTTTAGGGTTTAGCGTTTAGGGTGGGTCCTGAAGAACTCATAAACTTATTCTTAAACCCTCGGACCCTCACAGCGCCGGCCCGACCTGCGACAAAGATGCGGAGGTCTGCTCGACCTCCACCGGCAGGGTGCTCAGACTAGCCGTTTTTGGCACAACCCTAAACCCTAAACCCTAAACCCCAAACCCTAACCCCCTAACCCTAACCCCCAAACCCCAGACCCCAAAACCCTCATTGGTACAAGCCGGGGGTGGGGGGGGGGGGGGGGGCATCTGAGATTCGCCGCGCCTCGAAGCTTGTGGAACCGTGGGTTTTGGATCCACTGGTCTGTAGGGTTTAGGGTTATAGGGTTATGGGTTTAGGGTTTAGGGTTATAGGGTTATGGGTTTAGGGTTTAGGGTTATAGGGTTATAGGGTTATGGCTTTAGGGTTATCGGGTTTAGGGTATAGGGTTTAGGGTCCTGATCTGCCCCCCCTTTTCTCTAGGGTTGAAGTACAGTCTGCGTTACCACAAATGGGGACTAGAGTTTTTTGACCTCAGAACCTCAATGCCTTCAAGGGACTGAGCTGGAGAAATCTGCGGACCTCAAGAAACCCTGGGCCCTTAAACCGGGGTTTAGGGTGCAGGGCCCCAAACCCCAAAACCCAAACCCCAAACCCCAAACCCTAAACCCTAAACCCAAAACCCTATAAGCCCTAAACCAGGGTTTTCGGACTTCGGGCCTTCTTCACCTCCCCCAGCAGCTTCAGAATCTGAGCTTTCCACCTCGGATGAGAAAACATTGGGGGTCGGTTCCTGGGTTTAGGGTGGGGGGAGGGGGGCGGTGGGGAAGGTTCCGAACATTAGAGGTCTGTTTTGTGCGAACCGTTTAAGAAGAGCCTATCATTCTGGTGGGGTGTATGGGGTAGTGGGGCGGCCCTAATTTCGGGAAACTCCCAGGATCGTTTCACGCTCCCTGGCTTCGGACATTTTGCTTGGTGTCGGAAGGGGGCGTCTGAGGTGCTGCGGGGGTGCTTACCCATACTATAAACCCTGTAAGGCCTATACACCCCATAAACCTAATTATGACAGGGGACCAATCTATTGCGCCAAGACCAGCGATGTGAGCGCAGCATCTAAGGGAAAAGGATCCCAAGCAAGCGCGCGAACTCGTCCCTCAACCCCACCCCGTCCAACTCTGCAGCTACTGCATAGCTGATTAAGGAATTCGACTTGGGATGTTCCCCCCCATACTAGCAGTCCTCAATGGGGATTATAGTACCACCTATTATAATCCCTATTGAGGACTTTTTAGTATAATGTGGGGGAGCATCCCAAATATCGAGCTTCAAGTAAGTTGTATCGTAAACGTAGGCTCTGAATCCCTCGAATCAAAGCCCCCTATGTAAGGTCATAAGATTCCGGAGCAGGGTCCGGAGTTCCGTGGTTCCACTGTACCCTTAAGCCACAAACCCCAACTTTTTCCGGAGGAAAAAACAACCCCCTGGTTCCTGGTAGGGAATGAGGGAGCTCGGGCCCTATAGATAGATATATATATATATAGACACCCTTTAAGGGACTATGGAGGGTACCTCATTCACGCATTCCCTACTCAGAACCAGCCAGATAAACACGGGGGGGGGGGGGGGGGGGGGGGGCCTAGGAACATCGAGCTCCGGGCTGCTCCTCGTCATGCAGACGCTTGTCTTCCAGCCTGAATCACCAGGCTTCCCGCTTTCAATGCGGTTTTGGGGCGGGCTAGGGGGTTTGGGGTTTAGGGTTTTGGGGTTTAGGGCTTTGGGGGCTTTAGGGTTACCGGGTTTTAGGGCTTTAGGCCTTACAAGGCGAATCAGCAATCGGACCAAGACTGAGTTAACTTTGGGTAGTTTAGTTGGCTACTGTGCTCCTGCAGCATGATCTACCTCCTTCTCCCCTGGCGCAGCTGCAACGGACAATGTCTCTTGGGACTTGGTGTGTCTGGCGGTAAGATGCCGCAAGTTCCCATCAGTTCTTCTGCCTTCTCAGCCAGGGGCATTCCAACCTTCTTGTTGACCTTGAGAATTTCTTCGTAAGTAAGCTGTCGGATGCTCTTCACTGCTTCGATCGCTGAGGTGCTGGTGTAGCCACAAAGTCGGAGTACGATGTAGAGACTACATCCGGTCCGATGCATACCGGCGGCACAATGGAGCACGACAGAATGACCGTTCTTGAGCAGATCAGCCACCTCGGTGAGTCGTTGAATCGAGACCAGATCTAGCTTGTCCTTGCCGGGATTAGCGCCTGATAGAGGGAGATGCAGCCAAAGCTTACCATGCTTCTCGCAGGTATCCTTGATATCCTTCAGCTTACCCGCCTTCACCTCCTCTTTAGAGAGGGCTTCCTTGAAGTCAGCCTCTTCTTCGTCATCGCCACCCTCCTTCTCGTCTCCTTCAGCCTTATCACTTAACCCTTCACGGCTTCGCTGTAACGTCACGACACACGTTGCTCCCATCTCGGCAAAGAGCACCTTCTCGAGTCGCTGCGCACTCGGCTGGCCACACCCGGTCAATCGCCCACCAGATGGCAACTGCAGCCAATGATGGGCCTTGCGTGCATTCTTCTCTTCAGCGGTCAATTTCTTCGTCTCCTTGTGTTCAGGAGAAGGAGACGACGGCGTGGGGGATGATGCACTGGTGACCGTCATTGCGTTCTGTGGATGGCAAATTGTGGTGTCAGACATTTCAGTTCTGTATGTACTGTTGAAACACGAAGTCAGTCGTAAGAGCACAGAAAGGCACGTTGAAAAAGTGAATGAGCGTAAAAAGGGGGATAGACTCCGATTTGGGACTAACTACATCCAAAGGAAGGTTATTTTGGTGGTTGTTTGAACTGACAAACACGGATATTGAAACAGCGATCCTGCGGAGTGAGCACCTCGCAATCAACTTTTGTTAGGGCTTTGGGGTTTAGGGGTTAGGGTTTAGGGTTTAGGGTTTAGGGTTTACTAGAATACGTACCAGCTCCTAGCTGCGTTAGGGAACAGCTGACACTACCAGACGGAGTTGTCTTAACGAGGCGGATCAAAATCTCCACCCGATTTCCTTGTGAGGTCTCCTACACTAAAGTTCCTAACTAATGCCTAAGAATTGCTGCTATCGCTATGCTTTTCTGTGAGACACACCAAAGAAACCAGAATACTGCATCCATGGTGGTGGAAACATCATCACGAGAAGACGCAAAATGAAAACTTCTCTCCACATCGATCTCAAAGAGAAACTGAAGACTAGGTAGCCCAGCAACCATATTCTAGTAAGGGCACCCCTTTTTAGGGTTCAGGGTTTAGGGCTGATAGGGTTTAGGGTTTAGGGTTTAGGGTTTAGGGTTTAGGGTTTAGGGTTTAGGGTTTAGGGTTTAGGGTTTAGGGTTTAGGGTGATAAGAGGAATCACAGACACGCCACGGTTGCTCTTTCCTTCCCTGGGAGAGAGGTCGTGGGAGAGGTGGGGCTTTAGGGAAACAGGGTGCCAGGAAGCTGAACTCTAAACCCTAAACCCTAAATCCTAAACCCTAAACCCTAAACCTGAAACCCTAAACCCTAAACCCTGAAACCCTAAACCCTGAACCCTAAGCCCTCAACCTTAAACCCCAAACCCTCAACCCTATAGGCCCTAAGCCCGACGCCCTGGCCTTTGCACCTCCGCCTCGCGCTCGCGGAGCGCCCTCTGCACTGACGCACCTGAGAGGCTGCCAAGGAGTTCTTCTAACGACCTTTGCCCACAATACTTGCTACGATTCTTATTTTCATTGATATTAAATATTGCTCTTGTTACTATCTTTATTCTTACGGATTATTGTACTGTTCTCACTACGGCTATGTTTTGTACCATGTCATTCTGACTATTGTTACTAGTATTGCTACTGTTCTTGTTGCTATTATGATTCTTATTACTACTGTGTACATATATATATATATACATATATATATATACTATATGTATACAAATACGTACATTTCAGATTCGAAAAAGGGATCTAAGTCTTACCTCTTCTGGCATAGGGCTTGATGTGGGCCCACCAGTCCAACTTCGGCACCCCGAAGCCGCTTCCCGAAAGAAGATCTCTTCTACCTGTGGCTCCGGGGTTTAGGGTTTAGGGTTTAGGGTTTAGGGTTTAGGGTTTAGGGTTTAGGGTTTAGGGTTTAATTCTAGGTCCAGCTTCATCCCATCCACTCGCACGGACGCATCCTTGAACCCTACACCCTCAACCCCTTAAAGTGGCAAAGGCTGTCGTGTGCATCTTTTTCACTGCCTCACAGAGTCTTAATCCCTGTTCCCCTAGGAAGAAAAAAGGACCCTTCTTGTTCATATATAAGAAAGCCCATAACCCAAAAAGCAAAAAAGATCCCTAACACTGATCTAGGAGTGTGAGACTTTGCTCATGCATGGTCCGCATCAGCTGCAGTGGCCTCACGGGCGCATGGGCCACAAACTCAACTTACAGTCGTCGAAACCCTTCAAACACTCCAAACCCTCCAAACCCTCCAAACCCCGAAACCCTGAACTCTCCTAACCCTAGACCCTAACTCTCCAAACCCTAAACCCTTAAAACCTTGCAAACCCTAAAAGGTCTAGACCTGAAGGCTATTGAGGGATTAGGGGGGGGGGGGGGGCAAACTACACCCAAAAGCTCTCGAAAAGCACAGAGGAGAGCCCATCCGGGCTCGAGGGGTTTGGGGTTGTAGTGTGGCGCAAAGCGAATGCAACAGAGCCGACAATTGATCGCAGTGTCCTGGAATTTCCCCCCTAGAAGTGTTAGAAGGACGGACTGAAGTCTGGGGTTTAGAGTTTAGAGTTTAGGGTTTAGGATTTAGGGTTTAGGGTTTAGGGCACAGCTTACTTGTGGTGGGAAGACGGTGCTATCGGATCCCAATCATAAGCTTTATAGGCTCTAGAGCTACTATCCTGAGGCGATATCAGAAGATATAGTCATCAAGTGATCCAGCCCTGGGGTCCCATGCGTAGAGGCCCTTTTCGCGCGCGTCAGCAAGCAGTTGCCTGAGCTTCCCTTAAACGAAGGATGTTTGCTGTTGGCAGGTTCCTCCGCTGAGCTTCTGCAAAAAGATTAGAAAGTTGTCGATCAGAAGCAGGGAATTGGCGCACAAAGATTATAAAGTTGTCTTTGAGAAGCAGGGAATTGGCGCACAAAGATTATAAAGTTGTCTTTCAGAAGCAGGGAATTGGCGTTTTGCCGGCTGTTCTTCCCTAACTCTGAGGGCTGGCCTGTTCGGCCCAGGAAAAAGCTTTGAGCCCTGACACTCTCCATCGATGTCTAATCCATCTGGTCTTGCAAGTCCACATTGAGTCAGAACAAGACAGCTGCGAACGACAGAGAGGGACGGCGACGCTGTATGAAAAAGTGATCATTTCAGAAAAGACATGAAACACCTGTACATGTATGCACAACCTGCGAGAGAACAACAAAGCTCCTCATAAAGCCCCTGCGAATGGTTACGTTCACCACTGCCCGTTCACCACTGCAGGGAGATGCTCGGCGCGGGACCCCCTGAATTACAGCTGCTTCAATCAGCCCAAAATGCCAAGGCACGTAGGAATCGGTCCAGCTGCTCTTCAAGCTGTGCTTTTTGATCCTCCGGCAGCATCTGAAAGCGCATTGCTGAGAAGAGCATCACGCTGAAAGCCAGTGATTGCAAGCGGAAAAGCAGCGCAGTAGTAACCTTCACACCACGAACAGAGATGCCCACATCACTGACCTCCATGAAGCTTACAAACAGGCCATGGTCTGGACGCATGTCAGGGGGTAGGAACGCTTGCAAGGAGTTGACGAAGGCCACTGCCGTTTCGCACTTTGCGGTCGCTGCCGAAGCACTTCTGATCACGTGGGCCACGAGGAACAAGGTTACAATGCCTTAGTAGCCCAGAAACCACATTGTAATAAGGGCACCCTTTTTTGGTTGGTGATTCCATAAGGGAACCCATAGCCCAAAAAAGGGCAATGGGTACCACTGGGGGCTACCAAGATGCTGGCGGTCAGCTGCGGAAGCAGCCAGTCTGTACCAGCAAGCGGGAACTCTTGGGCCGGCACAAAGATGTCCACCAGGGGTGGGACTGCGCTCAGCATTGTGGAGCCGCACATCACGAAGTACCTGCAAGCCCTCTCCCGTCCCCCATGCCCCCTCCCCTCGTCCCCCGTCCCCCCGCCCCCCCGCCTCCCCGCCTCCCCGCCTCCCCGCCTCCCCCCCCCCTCCCCTCCCCCCCTCCCCCCCCCCCCCCCCCCCTCCCCTCCGCCCTCCCCCCCCTCAAAAAAAACAGATCCGGTCTTTAGGCAAAACACCTAACCTGCATACAACATCATGCTCCAGACACACCAAGGTGCACCGTATCCCCCTCCTCCGCGATCTGCCCCGCGAGGGAAATGATGCAAAACCATTGGGTGTATGTTGCATCCACCACGGCAGGGCACTCTGCGCAGTGCCGGCAGAACTTATCCACGGAGTCCTTCAACAACTCGTTCCAACGCAGGAGCCATAAAGACCACGCTGCGCTGTACCCGACTTGGAGACATGGCAGCATGTAGACTTGCATGGTCATCTGGCCACCGGACATGGACACAAGTCGAACCTTCGCACAGTGGCAAGCAAGCCAACAGGCGCAGCACCCCAGGATCACAGCCACGTCCCACTTGATTCTGTGACCTCGAGATGAAGCCAAGCCTTGTGATTTCATTGCCTTTGTGTAATGGCCATTCAGCTGCCCAAAGCTCTTGCTGCAGCTTTTGCCAAACAAGAGGGCCAGGAAGGCCGTCGCCTCACAAGCCCGAAGCCAACAGCTGCCCACCTCCCGGCCGGTGTTGGCATCCGTGGATGCACTGTGCACGCAGGCCACCCACATCATGCTACCTAGACCCGGGATGAAAACCTAGGAAGAAAAAAAGGGTGCCCTTTTTGGTTTTGAAGGGATGATAATAGGGAACCCCCCAACCCTAAAAAAAGAAAAAGGGCCCACTCTCCAGGTCCTAGCTACCCACGAGCACGGCGCCGCGACGTGCCGCCTTCTGCAACCAGGGGCAAGGTGCGTCGCATAGAACCACGCCAATGGGCAGAAGAAAGATGTTGCAAAGCACGGAGGCGATGGTCTCGCAGGAGAAGCGCTGGCGCTGGTGCGGGTCGCCGTGACTAGGCTCTTCGGGGAAGACCTTGGAACCCATCTTTGTAAGAACGCCCTTGTGAATGGCAGACTTCATCGAATGCATCGATGCCTGCTGCTCGACAGCTTTCGCAAACTCGAGCGGATCTGTCCAGGACTTGCGCTGTGGTGGCGGAAGTTCTGGATCCGGCACGACGCCATCATTGGAATCATGAGCCGTGCCGTGTTGAGCTGGAAGCCCTTGCTCCACTTGCTCGAAGGCCAGCTCGCGCTGTTGCTGTTGGAGCTCCTCAAGTGTGGCTTCGCTTGCCTTTACTGAACTTGGAAACCCTGGCAAAAAATTAGATTTGATAGAGCACCCACACGGCGTAAAATATTCCCCAAGTTAGGAGATATAGCACCCAAAAGTCAAAATATTCCCAAGCCTAAGTTGCCACGCGAGGATAGCTGCTCCCCGCAGTCAGGGTTCTCGGAGGGCCATTGGGTGGCACCACTGGTGTTGATTCAGGCAGATCTGGCGAGCGCAGGCCTTCCATAACCACTTTGGCTGCAGGATGGAGTGACAGTGGGACTGAGCAGCTAGCCAGGTTTCTGACTCGGAGGCAAAAACTGCGCACCATGCAATCAGGCATGCCGCATAAGAGCAGTAAAGCACTGGACGCCAGGAAAATTCTAAACCCTCAAGCCATGAAACTCTTCAACACTTAAGCCTCAAAGCCTCAGCCCTAAACTACCCCAAGGCAACACAGAGAGCAAGCTCTTTGGCGAGTCTCAAGACACCACGAGGTTGAGAAACAGGGCCTACGGCTCCCCCCCGGACTTGTTTAGAATGGGTATATTTTTTGCGTAGTGCTTCGATTACACAAGTATATGGGATTACATAATTGGATAAATTGTTTAGTGTAGGCTCCTGAAGGAGGGGGGAGGGGGGGGGGGGGGGGCGGTCCTCGTGTGCACAATAGCTGGTCACATGCCTAGTCAAGGGAACTATAACCTAAGTAAGACTTTTCGTAAGGGCCCATAGAACCCCGTGTTTTACCAGGGGGCCCCTCCATGCTGGCGGTGCTTTACATGTTAGGCTCAAGGGCGTCCCGTCCCCTCTGGCCTTCTGACCACAAGGGCACTGAAGCAGGCGGAGATTGCTGCGCTGTAGCAGATCCTGGGTTCAAAAGACTCCCCCACCTAAAGCCTAAGCCCTAAACCCTAAGCCCTAAACCCTAAACCCTAAACCAACCTATAGGGCCCCAAAAAGCCCCGTCCGACAGGCTTTTTTCTGGGAGCTTGCTCCCTGAATTGTCATTTTCTCGACTTGCCAAAAACATATATGTATATACACCAACACATATATGTGTATATATATATATATATTTAAATACATATATAGATACAATATATACATATATATATATACATGTACATAGACGCATGCGTACGAACCTGGCAGTCGTTCCAACAAATAAAACTGATGGGGCTCTTGCACAACGACACAGATTCTGCACCCAACCTCATGAGGCCAAGGGACATGTCCCCAGCGAGCTCCTCTTCACCAGAGCTCAGCATGTCGAGCGCCTGCACCATATATATATATATATATATATTTTTGTTTTTTGTATGGGCATTTCCAAAACAGGGGTACCCCTTTTGTACCCCAAATAGAATAGAATCCCCCTGAAGGGACCCCCACAGATATTGTCGGAAAAACCCTCATATGGGTCAGCAGATACCCATACGTAGAGTTACAGAGCACCAGCCCCCCAGTCAAAGCCTCAAAGAAGGGCCAAACTCGGAACCTTATCAAACCCTACGCGGGCACCTGCTGCCAGAGCGACCCCATGCTGCAGGCGCGCATCGCGATGCCATGTGCCACCGCGTCCTTTGCTTGTGGCGGGTTGCTTTCTTGAGGCGGAAGGTTGTGGTGAGTATAGGGCTTAGGAGATCAGGAGTCTAACTTCCCCCAAACAATCAAATTCTCCCGCCCCCCCCCCACCCCCCCCCACACCCCCCCCACCCCCCCCCCCCCCCACCCCCCCCCACACCCCCCCCCCCCCCCCCCCCCCCCCACCCCCCCCCCCCACCCCCCCCCCCCACCCCACACCACCCCCCCACCCCCCCCCCCCCCCAACCCCCCCCCCCCCCCCCCGACCCCCCCCCCACACACACCCCCCCCCACCACCCCCACCCCCCCCCCACACCCCCCCACCCCCCCCCCACCACCCCCCCCACCCCCCCCCCCCCCCCCCACCCCCCCCCCACCCCCCCCCCCCCCCACCCCCCCCCCCCCCCCCAGGCGTTAAGGCATTTCGGTCTTGCGGGCTTTGCTTGCACGCTGATTGTAGGCTCAAGCGAAGCAGAGCGTCCCCCATGCACCGGTGCGCTTGAGCCTCGCTCATGAGCGCCAAGACTGCTTGCCAGCGTCCCGAGCTGTCGCAAGCGCTCATCGCACAACTCCTCTGCTGCTCTTGGAAGAAGATACTCGGAAATATGACCGTGGAGGACAAAGTGGTATGCTCAGATTCGGCGAAGCTGTGAGCCATGGATGTGCAAATCGAAGGCCTTAATTGACTTAGGCGTAGAGGAGCAGGCTCGGTCAAACAGAAAGGGCAATCCGGGTCTAAAATGGGCAGCAACCTGCCGACGAACATGCCATCACAAAGCCTCTACTACACTCTCAAAATTCTAGGACCCCAGAGCTAAAATCCAAACCCACCCGCGCTCCAACACAGATCGTCGATCTGCATTCGCAGCACCCTCATGCAAGAAAGGCAGTGGAGACCCAGCTTCCACTGGCCCGTCCTTCGGGATGTCGTGAGAGGGTAGTAAGACTAGCTGTGTCGGGTTTAGTGCGATGTCTTCGGTCCCTCTTGGCACGGAACCTTTTTCGATTTCGGATGGGTGCCCCACAGGGAAAACAGCAGGACACGAGGCTTCGGGGTGTCAAAAACCCTACCCCGGAACGTCGAAAAAACAACCCAGAAGGACACAATGCTTCGTCCGTGGGAAATACAAGTAGGGGCCCCCCCTAACTATACGAACGCCAAGTAGTAAGACTTACAACCCAACTAAGGGCCCTTACAACCCGATTGATAGCTAGGGGGCCCCGACAGGTAGGGGTAAAGCAACCCAAGGTTGGACGTCACTTCGGTGTCCTCTCGCAAGCTGCCATGGCGCTGCTCATACCGATGAGATCCGGGACCATGGCCCTGGTCCTGCGCCGCAGTTATCGAGACCAGGATCTCATCTCCTTGCTACTCTGCCGAGGATCTCTTTTTCGAGTCTTCCTGACACATTCCACCAGTTTGGGGTGCGTTCATGTAGCTGCGAATCACTACTAAAATCTGCCCAACCCCTAAATTAAGCTCATGCTGTGGGGGGAGCTAGATCCCCGAATCTGTCATCTGTGGCATTTTGAACAAGCTAATTCCAACGAGATAGTCGACAACATGCAGATGCACAATAACGACCATCTCTCGTCTCCCCACTTGTAACAAACAAATTATCCTTGACATCGCGCACACTTTCAATCGCCGCCAGTGCTTTTGACCCAGTCCGTTCATATCCGAAAGGTCAGATCTATAAAAACAAGAAAAATGCTGACTAGAACATCAGACATCACATGAGTCTTGAGGCGAACGTCGGGAAATAGACTTTTCCGGAATTTCGCTTCACGCAGTTCGGCACTGCCGCACGGTCATCTCAAGAAGCATCCAGCTTCTGCAGAGCTCTGTCGACACGAACCACGAAGTCCGAGAGCTCTACGCCGAGACCCTTGAACTCGCTTATGGCAAGTCTCGTAGCTTCAACGCGGGCAGGTGACTCATCGTGAATCTGCTGGAGCTCGGCCAGGATCTGCCCCCACCGCCAGCTGGCTGCCAAGGGCTTCTGAAGAAGGGTTGCCACATATACATCTGCAAAGGGCTGGTTGGGTTCAATGCCTAACTGTTTCATCTCTGTATATGCAGATTGGGCTTTCTCCAGTGGCGCTGCACCGTAAGCCCCCACCAAGCAAGCGAACGTCACAATGTTGGCTTCTAACCGCAAACGCACTGACAGATCGAACAGGCGTTCCGCTGTCTTGTACATGATTCCTCCAGCTCTCCAGCAAGCGCGGATGGCAGAGGTAATGTGCGCAATGTTAGTGCTGATGTTCATCTGCTGCATGTCGTGCAAAACCTGAAGAGCTGACTCAACATCTCCCTCTTCTGCAGCGGCATCAATGCGCGCTGCAGTCAGTGGCGCGTTCATTTCACATAGTGGATTGTCTCTTGCTTCTTGCCAGATCGTTTTCACAGTTTCGTTGTGTCCGAGTTTTGCAAAAATCTTCAGGGCTGCAGCGTATGTGGTGGAAGTTTTTGCAATGTTCATCTTGCCCAAACTGTCGAAGATGGCCGCACCTGCCTTGTACTGCACGCATTCAAAAGCCGTGTGCAAGACTGCGTTGTAAATCTGGATTTCAGAGTCAGAATACGCGGCATGCAAGGATTTCACCCTCATCCAGTCGCCAGCTGCCCTTGCCTCTTGGATCAGTTCGAGCACATCTTTCCCCGCTTTACTCAAAACTGAATCCTTATGAGAAGCCTTTGTGTGAAGCTCGAGTCCATCGCGCACACGCAGTGATCGCAGGCTGTCTTTCGCAGCAAAGTTTGCCGGAGATGATGGCAGAAGCAGCAGCAGCAGCTGGGCAGCGGTAGCCACTGCTGGCATGAGTCTGCGTAACGGTCTAGCCCGGAACACTGCCATCACCATCGACTAAGAATTCGAGTGGCCCGACTGAGCGGCAACACGACAAGAGTAGCACCGGTTCATCCCTACAGCGAGGGCCATATTTGTGGAGACTGAATGATGGCATAAGCATACGAAGCCTGACAAACATGGTACCGCGGCTGACAGGTGGCCGAACTTGGGCCTTGACATCCTCACCTATGAGGCTATAGAGCTCCTACAAGGCCAAAAGACAGAGCTCGAACCCTCCTGCAGCATGCCCGGTACCCAGATTCTAAAACCCGAACCGAAGCATCAAAAACCGCACCAGGAGACGAAGTATGATTGAGCGCATCTGCACAGCCCGCTGGAAATCCGCTGGACTTATTTCTCCGCGAGTGTTTGAAAAGAAGCTTTAAGTTCTTGGGGGGCGAAGAGAACCCCAAAATTGGGATCATATACCCGAAGCTGCCCGAAGCTACTATAACCCCCATGAGGGTATATCACCCATATACCCTGTTCAGGTGATTTGGTCCCCAAGAAATTGAGGCCTAGCGAGAAGTCGACTCCGACTGATCCCCTTGACCCTCGTGTACCTGGGGCGGGCTTCAGTCCCACCACCTGACGCCTGAAACCCCGAAACAACCACAGCCTCATCTGCCCAAGGAGGGCAAAGCTCTGTCGCCAGCGCTGCACCTGCCCCAGACTGTAGTAGGATTTCAGGGATAGAGATTTAGAGGTTTGGTGTTTACAGCCTGACCCCACGCAGTAACTTGACTGAAGCGCATGGGTGAATAAAAACGGCGCGGTGAGTGGTATGTGGGGGATTCCATGGTTTGGTTGAAATACCCTGTTACCTTGCATTTGGGTACCAAAACAAGAGTCCAACCATATAGTCAGAACTGCCCATGGACAGACCTTACACCCTGTAAGCCCCCAAGCACAGAACAACCTAAACCGTAAAACTCCCAAACCCAGAGCAGATGCCAGCTCCCCCAGGCCTCCTCGCAGATCCGAATCTGCGTGTTGTAGGTCACCCGGTCCAAGGGAAGCGCCGGAAGTGAGCCGGGAAGCACTAGGGCCAGCTTCCAGCGGCCTCCGCGTTTTTGTTGAGGGGGGGAGGGGGGGAAAGGATGCAGGGGGAATTTGTTCAGGGCTTTGAGTCTTTGGGGTTGTGGGATGTGGGGCGCTTGCGGGGATTCCAAGGCTTCAGGTTAGACCGCCCTGAGATGTGTTGCGCACCTGGCCCGAAAAGTCTCGAGTCCTGTGTAAGTCACCCGCACAACCACAAGCTTAGGGTCAACTCTCTGATGCTGGCAATAAGTGGCTTGTTCCACCGGTGGTTCCTGCCACGCACCTTGTGCTCTGTCTTTTCCTTCAGCCATTGATGCGCGTTCATAGCAAACCAACGTACCCTAACTGCGAGTCGAAAAACTCAGTGCCTCGTATCACAAGCCACTTACTGTAAATCAGTGGCCCCACACCCTGAATTCAAGGCCTGCTTGATCGTCTGACCCGATCCCTTACTTTAATAAATCCTTAACCTGATAAGCCCTACAAACCTTGTAGACCCTCTTAAACCTTATGAACCTTCTAAAGACTCGAACGAGAACGCAAAGCGGCCTTTGGCACAGCTGCTGAGCGCGGCGTTCAGGCTGAAAGCGTTCCTGGGCTCTCCCAACTTGGATGCGAACCCCACCCAAACCACTCCCCGTCAAAAAAAAGGAGAGGGTTTAGGGGTCAGGGTAGCCTAGCCTTATTTAGGTAGGCTAGATCCTATACTTCCGGGGAATCTTATGTCTCAAGTACCCTGAGTAGACTATTTCATATTGCATAATGTTGTATAATACCATGTGTGTGTGTGTCTATATAAATACATATATATATATGTATATATATGTTTCTACATAATATGTATAGATAGATATATATATATACACACACTTACGAATAAACAAGTATGCGTACATGTATGTGTCTCAAAAGAGACAAGGGAGGTCAGCAAATGCAGCTCAAGCTCGGAGTCACGCTGGCCCAGTGCATTTGCCCCAGCAGCTGCAGCGCGGGCTCCCAGCGATCTGCCTTCCTGGGTTTAGGGTTTAGGGTTTAGGGTTTAGGGTTTAGGGTTTAGGGTTTAGGGTTTAGGGTTTAGGGTTCGGGCTTTGTGGTTTTTGTAGGGAAGTGAGGGTTCAGGGTCCGGGATGTAGGGTTTGCAGATAAATTTGTTTTAGGAGGTTTAGATTTAGGGATGGGCCAGAATGTTCGTGTTTCGGGATAGAAGGGTTTAGGTCTTGTCTTTGGGGTTTTATGGCCAAACTCCCTTGTTTGGGGTCACGCTTAGGGTTTAGGGGGGCTGACTCAGTGGGTTCAGGACCCCCGTTTAGGGTTTAGGGTTTAGGGTTTCCCCCCACCCTGCAGCCCACCCGCGAAGCTCCGGCCACTCCGCGCGTCCAATCTTCAGCACTGGATTTCGCGGTTTAGGGTTTAGGGTTTAGGGTTTAGGGTTTAGGGTTTAGAGATTCTGTTGCCCAGATGTGGGGGGGCAACAACAAAGGTGGAAGAGCGCAAGAACAGAGTTGCTGGAGCAAGAGGGGGACCTTACGATTCGAGCTCGGGGGACTCAGGCTGGGGAGGCCTTGAATTGTCCTTTCATGTGTCTAAGTTGGGATGCTCCCCCTTATACTAGCAGTCCTTAGTAGGGATGAATTTTACTACGTGCTACTATAATCCCTACTCTGAACTTTAAGCCTTAAGCCCTTAAACCTTAAACCCTATACCCCAAAACCTAAACCCTAAACCCTACACCCTAAACCCTAAACCCCAAACCCTAAACCCTACACCCTAAACCCTATTATCCTTTCATGTGTAGGTCCAGCAGCTGAAATGCGCTCAGGACTGCGCTGAAAGTGATCACATCCTGGGACACGGAGGCCTGCGGTTGAGGGCTGATAGGGTTTAGGGTTTAGGGTTTAGGGTTTAGGGTTTAGGGTTTAGGGTTTAGGGTTTAGGGTTTAGGGTTTAGGGTTTAGGGTTTAGGGTTTAGGGTTTAGGGTTTAGGGTTTAGGGTTAAAAAAGGGCAAAGCTCAAGCACACTAGGAGGTCCATGGGTAGTTAGAAGTAGGGAAGTAGGTATGGCAACTATACTTATATCCCTGTTTAGGATACTTTCCACTGGTTTTAAAAAGGCGTGCGCGTTGCGGTGGTGCTTCGTATCTTCAGGGTACTTTGAACCATACTTATAATTTGCCAATGCAGCATCTTCGCAGCACCGAGCGACGGAGGTTCAAACTGCCCAACTACGTCTACGTTGTCCCTCTGTGCAAAGACTGCCAAGAGCCTCAAGGCAGCCAGGCAACCACAAGTCATGCAACTCCCTCCCCCCCCCCCCCACAATAAAAAAGAAAGAAACAAACAAAAAAGACGAGGCTTGATGTCAGCGCCTGAGTCTTACGTAGGATGTACCCGGGACTTTCTTTACCTCCAGTTCAGTGCGTTATTCCTACTTACGGGGCAGTTGCTACTAAGCTGTAGGTAACATGGGGTCCAAGGTCGGCTTAGCAGGACTCCATGGAAGACAGTCGGGGGTGTGGAGGAGGTGGACAAGCTGGGAGACTTCAGGGCTTGAAGCCGAGGATCCCCGACATCTTTGTCTAAAGCCCTATTAACGCCTTAATGATAATCCTACTAAAATACCAGAATAGTAACAATCATGGTACATAAAGCCCTACTTATGAGCCCTTCTAAACTCTTCTGAGCCCTTGTAAGTCCTTACGAACCCCTGATAACATGAACTCCTTATGACCGATTCGCGCACCCTCACAGTCAGAAACTTCTAGAGTTAAGGCGCTCATCGACCTCTACATAAGACTGTAGCATGGCGTTTAGAAACCCTGTGAGAATCAGGCCCCGTAAGCCCTAAACCCTAAACCCTAAACCCCAAACCCTAAAATCTCTGCCAGGAAACCGGAAAGTGCAGCAGAAGGTGCGCCATCTGCCATCGGCGGCCCTTCTCGCACGCGGTGATGGCGGCGCTGCAGCATGCGAAGGCCCTTGCGTGCGGACAGGTTCTAGGGATCATGGCGAGTATAGGTGTTGCAAATTGGGGGGGTTTCGGAGGGTTTAGGGTTTAGGTTTTGGGGTCTTTAGGTAAAAAGCAGAAGACTATCGGGCCCACTTGGGGATCGACAGCATGCCGCTCAACACTGCAAAGATCTGAGCAGAAGACTGCTACCTGGAACCAAATGGACCCCTAAACATTGGCGTCATATACCCTTACTACTATCATCCCTATTGGGCCATATGCACCAATAAACCCTGTTAGGTTCCTTTGGTCCACGAGAAATTTACGATGTAAACCCACTCTGCCCGACCTGTCTGAAGGCAAGATGTAGGCCCAGTGCAGCGCGCTGAGAGTACCCAGGGACAGCGGCCACAGCCCCCGTGGGGCGCTGGCACAGATGGCCGCAGAGCCGCTGAACTCGTCCCTGTTTGGCAGCTATGTGGGTTTAGGGTTTAGGGTTTAGGGTTTAGGGTTTAGGGTTTAGGGTTTAGGGTTTAGGGAGGGGGTAGGGAAAGTTCAGGGTCGGGTTAAGACGTTTAAGACTTCGGGAAGGGCTTACGTTCCAAAGGGTTTCTAGAGTTCAGGGTAGTTATAGCGCTCAGCATTGCGTCAATAAGTAGGTCATGAACCAAGGAAAGCATATGTCACACTTGAAAGAATACCAATAACTTATTGAAACTTTCCTTGAGGGCAGGCCGCAACCGCGACAGATAGCAAACCAAATAGCACGACACAAACCAAAACTTAATCGCGACAAGAAACAACCAACACAACGATGACAAAACAATATATCTATATATGCATATACATATATGTTTATATACGTTGTATATTTGTAGAACTGGCCATGAACGTTCAGACCGTGCGCCTTTGTAGGCTGAGCTTGCGCATGGCCCGCAGTAGATTGAAAGCCGCTTGCCAGCGGGCCTTCTTTGCACAAGCGCTGGTGCCTCATCAGGGTTCTGTCTCGCAGCTGAACGTGCGCTAAACCCGAATACCCCAAACCAAAACCCTAAACCCTAGACCCTACACCCTAACTTGGGGGGTTCACGAGGTACAACAGCCTCCCCTGCACAAACGTATTCAGGCATATTATGTTGTAGTAAGACCGTGCGAACACGGGGACTGGGGGGAAGAGAGGGGGAGGTGGGTGGGGGATTGAGGGTATGCTCCTGCACCCCCCCCCCCCCCCCCCAAAAAAAAAAGATAACAAAACAATAGAAATGAAAACCCAAAAACTTCCGAGCCGGGGCCGGATGCCGGAGCTGAGGGTGACTTCGTTGGGACACACCTCGCACAGGGCTTGCTTGGGCTCCAGGGGTTTAGGGTTTGATGTTTAGGGTTTAGGGTTTAACTCCCCCCCCTCTCTCCACAGATGTTCCCCCCTGGCTCGGCCCGCGTTTTGTTTCACCTGAAAACTCTAACTGTATATACATGTATGTGATATAATATAACTATCTGTAATCAACAGAACTATGTGTAATAAACTAAGAGACGAGCTAATTCTCTACATGATATACTAATTCTCACAGGTTCTGTTGCATCTTATGAGCGAGAGAGAGAATTCCCCTAAACCCTAAACCCTATACCCTAAACCCTAAACTCGTGGCGCCTCCCAGGAGGTGAGGGAGCTGATCAGGCCCAGTGCAGCTCCCCAGCTCGAGGACTTCTCGCAGGCCGAGACGGCGGCAGTGAGATGGAAGACGTTCGGCTCCTCAACGTTCGAAGGGTTCAATGTTTTTGTTGGTATTATTGCTATGACTACTGCTCATATTTAGATAGTTTGTCAACTTTCGAAGGGTTCACTATTATGATGAGTAATAATGACAATATGAATGCTGGTGTTACTATGACTATTCTTTTTGGTGCCGGAATGCTTTGAAAGTACCTTCCTAGAGTATTTAGAACCCAGGTATGCGCACCAATTTTCCTTGGCTCAGATAGGGTGTTGGAGGGGGGGGAATTAATCCACATTTGGGGCTTTGGGGGCTTCTGCAGAAAGTTCTGAGAATGGATCTTGAGATACGAGTACCGCCTCGAAGCTTTTCGAGGCAGGGAACCCATCCAAAATCCTTTTCCTATGCTCAACCTTAAGAAAAATATGTGTTTTAATATGTATCCTCTTGGGTTTTATAAAAAAATTATTTCCCAAGGGGGATACAGTTTCGAGCTGACCTCTACCAGAGCCAACCGCGCAGGCTCAAAGATCGGGACTTTCTTCTGCACCCAAGGTTCCAGCTGCAGCGCGCGGCAGCTTCTGAGGAATTGAAGAGCTCTCTTCACCTCAAAGTCCGCACTTGGGAACTTCGGGTCATGTCGGGGGAAGTTCCTGCGAGCAGAATCCGACTGAGACCGCCAGATCGGCCCTGAGACCCATGCTGAGGGAGGAGGACCCCCAGGCAGGAACCCTAAACCCTAAACCCTAAACCCTAAACCCTAAACCCTAAACCCTAAACCCTAAACCCTAAAGCCCGAGCCCTTCAACCTGCCCAAGCTTGAAAGCCTGCTTCCGCGAAAGTCGGCGGAGGTGGGCCGTCAGCAACTCCGGCTGCCTTCCAGGGATTTGGTCCAGGGCGGGGTTTAGGGTTTAGGGTTTAGGGTTTAGGGTTTAGGGTTTAGGGTTTAGGGTTTCGGGTTCAGGGTTTCGGGTTTAGGGTTTAGGGTTTCGGGTTCAGGGTTTAGGGTTCAGGGTTTAGGGTTCGGGGTCTTAGGGCCTTAGGGCCTGGCTTCGGGCGCTTTAGAGGGGGACGGGAACCAGGCTGAAACACGGAGCCAGTACAAGGTAGCACATGGGGGATTCCGCCTGTTTGGGTATACATATACATATATATATACGTATAAAGGTATGTATGTATATATATATATATATGTATATATTTGTATACAAAAGGCTCCGTACTATCATCGGATTCCAAAAAAGGGACTAGCCTGGAGAACCTCCCACGTAGAGCCAAGTCTGAGTTTCTGAGCACGTCCCTTCTCGCCTCTTCCAGGTCAGAACGAGGTCGGCACATGGCTGCATGCTGCGTCTGATCGCTTACGGCTGCCACGGGGCCATGAAGGCTTATAATAGGGTTTAGGGTTTAGGGTTTAGGGTTTAAGGTTTAGGGTTTAGGGTTTAGGAGGGTTTAGCACCCTCAGAAAAGATTCGCCGACTGCAGCGGAAGTTCTCAGCAGAATCGATATAATCCATTTGATATACAACCTGTATACAAAATAGAAAACAATGATGATCTCATATATAGCCTGCAATATATAATGCCTATAACATAAGAACCCTATATCATCGCGCTCTATCATGGATCCACTACCAAGCACCGTCCAGTTGGGTACCAGGATCCTGCAGACTCATGATAGAATTGAAGGGGGGGGCCGCAGCTTCTCGAAATGCTGCTCTGATGATTTTCCTCATCAGAGATGTTGGGTGCCCAGCAATCTTGCTGCACGCCCTCCAGCTCTGCTCGCCGCCGAACTGCTTCATGACGGTCCTGCGGAAAAAATAGGGAGGTTGCCAGTTCTGCGAAGTACAGTCTGTGAGATTGTCCTAAGTGGGACATGAACTTTTGCAGGACTCGACGCAGTAAGATCAAGCCCTGATGTCCCGAAGCATCCCGTTAGGGGCTTATGTAGGGAATGAGGTACCCTATATCTCCCTATAATGTATACCTGTCTTAAGGCATTCTGTAGGGTGCCTGTACTTCCCCCCAATTTCCCTACTAAGATCCAAGAGGGGTAGGCCGTTTGGCCGTTCAGCAGCTTGAAGCTGTAAAGGAAGGGCGAAGGGCACGCAAACATGGTATGGTCCACACGTAGGGACCCCCTTCATAGTACACTAACTTTAGTTCGTTGGGAATTATTATGAACCCTAAGTGGTAAGGCTTAAAACCCAATGTAGGGCCCTTAGAACCAAGTCATAACTAGGACATGAGTAGTCATCAGGCTTTACAACCCAAGTTAGAGCCCTTAGAACCCTATGTATATCTAGGGGGCTCCTACATGCAAACACTAAACCCTATAGACCCTAAACCCTAAACCCTCAAACCATTCCCCTCTGACTCCGGCTGTCCTCCTCGAGGTCGCGCTTCGCCGCAGAAAGCACAGCCATCTGACGGGACAAGGTTTGACTCTGTGCTCAGAAGAAGCCCACGGGTGTAACATAGAGGCCTTAATAATTAGAACAGGGTATTGGGGGTTCCTGTCGTGTCTGTATAAGGGGACCATAAGGGAATACCATTGTTAATTATTCCGACCCCTATATTGAGCAGTGTAGACCACCTCACCTGGCCCATGACCATTGGCATAGGGTTTAGGGTTTAGGGGTTTAGGGTTTAGGGTATCAGGAAGGTTCTGATGTTGTTACCGAAAACCCTCGTGAGAGAGGCGGGAAAGGAATCATGGAAGCAGCTGTCTGAACACGAGATGCAGCTTGAACGAAACCCCAAACCCTTTATAAGCCCAACACCCTAACCCTCACAGGCCGAAACTGAACGGGTGGAAAGCAGCGCTTCTGATGCCGCGCCTCATGCTCGCGGATCTCGAGTCTTTGCTTGAAGTCCTCCCCCGTCATCCGTTCCCACTTCCCACAGCAAAGCCCGAAAGCTACGTAGGATGGATGCGATTCCGCAGTGGTGGAGGCTGCGAAGGCTACGGTTACAGTGCCGAGGCCTGCCTCCCCCACATTGAACACAGTCTACTAAGAACCCCAAAACTGCATTCGCCGATTGGGTTCCCAATAGTCCGGCTTAGGCTCATGCAAAGTCGTAAAGGTTTGGTGTAGCCTGGTAACCCAGTTGCTAGGCGCCTGCTGATTGAAGATGAACTGGATCCGGAGGCCCTTTGTTGAGACTTGAGACCTACCTTGACCAAAATTATTTATGAGCCCGGGTCCAAAGAGGGGTTAATAGTAGTATAGTAGGGTATATGACCCCCAATCTTAGGGTTCCCGAAGCCCTAAACCCTACACCCTACGCGCAAAAACCCAAACCCCGAGGTGATCTTGGCTGCACTCAGCAGGGTAGCTATAAATTGAGTTTGTAGCTGCCTTCTTAAGAAACCCAATAAACCCAAAAAGGCTAAGGATCTAAAGTTGCAGTAAAGAACCACAAAGCCGAGGTGATGATCCTCTGCGCCCAAAGGCAAGAAGCGTCCTCCAACTGCGCTTCTGCAGCTTTCCGACCCCGCTCCTGCGACAGCGCCAGGGGTGCCCTGAACCCGAAACCCTAAACCCTAGACCCTAAACCCTAAACCCTAAACCCTAAATCCTAAACCCTAAACCCTAAACCCGAAACCCTAAACCCTAAACCCTAAAACCCTGTGAACTATAGGGCTTAGGCAGTGAAACAGCGAGGTCCCGGGCCAAGTCGGGCGACTTTATATAAGCCGTATCAGCCACATAAACTCTGTTAAGTTAGTTGGAGTGTGGTTCTTTCCCTAAGCCCTAAGCCCTAAATCCTAAACCCTAAACCCTAAACCCTCAACCCTAAACCCTAAACCCTAAACCCGAAACCCTAAACCCTAAACCCTAAACCCTGGCCTCCCCACGCCCATCTTCTTCGCTGTCCGGCCTCCTCGTCCGCTCTCCCACGCAGCTTGGCGACCTTGCGCCTGGCAACAGCTGTCGAGGACTGGGGTTGATGAGGGCTCAGGGTTTAGGGTTTGGAGCTGATAAGGGTGCAGGGTTTAGGTTTTTTTGCTGATAGGGGTATAGGGTTTCGGGTTTGGGGGTCGTAAGGGTTTACATAGGGTTCGTTTGGGATTTGTTTCATAAGGGTTTCTCAGGGTTCGGGTCCGGAGGATTTAGATTTTAGGGCTTGGTAAGGGTTTAGCGCTGATGCTGCTGCATCTGCAAACTACTGGGCCCCTCCTCCCCCCCCCCCTCCCCCGGGGTCTGGAGAAAATAGCACTACCCCACGCGCCTTCAAGCAGCTTGAGCCTGAATCATGGGGTTGGGACCTAGCTTCAGTGAGGACCCGGTAAGGCTGGGCAACTTTGACAGTGCCTGTCCTCTGAGACTGAAACCGTATACCCTAAACCCTAAACCCTAAGCCCTAAACCCTAAACCCTAAACCCTAACCCTAACCCTAAACCCTAAACTCAAGGCTCAACTTCCTCGCCGGGGCCGCTCCAAGATCTCAACGAGCTGCTTGTTCACACGCTCCTGCAAGGCTCGCCGGAGGCGACATCGAACAGTCAAGCCCAGCTCGTAACCCAGTAACCCTATTATAACAAACCCTAAGCCCTAAACCCTAAACCCTAAAACCCTAAACCCTAAACCCTAACCCTAAACCCTAAACCCTAAAACCCTAAACCCTTCTTGGAGTTGGTGGCCGCATAAGGGAACCCAGAACCACCCAAAAAGGGCACATGTCTGTCGTAATTCCCTTCTTACCACGAAGCTGTTAGGGTTTGGGGTTTGGGGCTTGGGGTTTAGGGCTTGAGGCTTAGGGTTTAAGGTTCAGGTTTTAGGGCTTAGGGCTTGGGGCACAGGGTTTAGGGTTCTGGGAACAGTTAACATAATACCAAATATTAGGAGTATTGATATGGATTTCATGAGTCATAATCAACAACCATGTATACCATCATTTGAACCTACCATATCCCGACGACTAAGTTCAGGACGCCCCCCCCCCCAAAAAAAACATATGACTTGGTAGATGCACAATGGCTTTGTAATGCCGGATGCAGTTGAGGTTTACGAAAAGAGGGACCCCTAACATGGACCCCCAAAAAGAAGTATGATTCCCTTGTCATAAGGACCCCAAGAAGGTATCCCTAGTACCCTAAACCCTTAACCCTTAACCCGAAACCCTACACCTAGTCCCCCCCAACATGTCGGCTCCTCCTCATGATCGACGAGGGGCTTGTCAGTCTCTTTGGGCGGCTCGCGTGCGTACCTTCCAAAGTCATTAGGGGATTTGCCAAAGATGGGGTAGAGAAGGGAACCCCTTCGATACACCAAATAGAATAGAATCCCCTTAGAGGGACGCCCAAAAATAGTACCCTATTTTCGTAAACCCCATTAGGCTATCCGAACACTCGACACTAAAATGCATGGAGTCCTGAAGAAGCAGACTGACTGACATCAAGGTTCAGCAAATGGCGTGGATGACTAACTGCAAACGATCAAGACCTACAGCAGCCCATTCAATTCCTCCAAACCCCAAACCCGATCCAGGTACCCGAAGAATCCTCCAGCCCTTGCGGCACAAATGAACTCTAAAATTGGGATTGTTTAACCTAAACGGCTAATATCCCGATTAGGGTGTGTATAATATGTACATATGTACGTATATATATATATATATGCTCACCCCCCCCCCCATGATCTAGGTCGAAAGGCCTTTCGGGCCCATCGAAGCGAGATTTAAACCTAAGTCGGAATGAAAATTAAAAGGCCACTGGCCTCATTCGTAGTAATTTTTTTTTAATCTAAATTTGCCAATTAAAAGCCTCACCCTATGAAATCCTCTTCTGGGGCCTGCCTGTCCGTAACAAAATCTCACAAGAGCTTTATATGCAGAGGTTACAGCCTCAGAAATCCTCATCTGGGCTTCCTTCCTATTTTATTGAGAAAATGCTTCTACATAATAGCCCACACCCTACGAAAAGAATTCCATACTTAAAGGCCACACCCTATGAAATCCTCTTCTGGGCCCTCTTAATGAAATTTCAGTAGACTTGTGTCTGATAAAGCCACAGCTTCGTTCGTAATTAACCCAAGTAAAAAAACATATTAAGAGGCCCAGCCCCAAGACATCCTCTTCTAAGCCTCATTGATTAATACCTATTTAGAACATTTTTGTTTTTCCCACACCCTGTGAAATCTTTCGCTGGCCCCATTCGTAATGAAACGCAATTTGATTTCATATTGTAGAGCCCACACCCTAAGAAATCCTCTTCTGGGCTTCGTTCGTAATTGAACCCAAGTAAAGCAAGTGTATATTCAGAGGCCAACCCCAGGACATCCTCCTCGCAATGAAACCGAGTTAGAATTCTATATTGCAGACCATACCCTATGAAATCCCTTTCTGGCCCCTATTTGTAATGAAGATTAATTGGAATTCTGTATTACAAAGCCACACGCCAAGAAATCCTCATTAGACCTTCGTTTGTAATTAGACTTATTTTCGATTTGCCAAGATGCTTGTATTAAAAAGAGCCACACCATTCTGGGGCCTGTTCGTAACAGAATCTCGTAAGAAGTTTATAATTCTAGGTAAGAAGCCCACACCCTAAGAAGTTCTGACCTAGGCTAGGTTCGTATGTAACTCTTGGACAGAAATTTATATCATGAGCCCCCATTCGTATTTGAATGTACTTACAATTCCATATTTAACCGCTAGACCCTATGAAATCCTCTTCTGGTGCTTATTAGTGAAATGTCAATAGACTTGTATATGATAAAGCCATAGCTTCGTTAGTAAATTAAACCCAAGTCAAACAAACAAATTAAGCGGCCCCGCCACAAGACATCCTCTTCTAAGCTTCATTGGTTAATACCTATTTGGAAATCTATTTTGCAGACCACACCCTATGAAATTCTCCCCTGGCCTCGCTTCATACTACAATGTTATTTGAGGTTTGTATTAAAACGCCACACCCTAAGAAATCCTCATCTGGACTCGTTTGGAATTCCACTTAAATTGAATTTTAAGTTTAGAGGCCACACCCCTTTGGACAGAATTTAAAAGGCCACACCCTAAGACCTGTGTATGGTAAAGCCACAGCTTCGTTCGTAAAACCAAACCAAGTAAAACAATTAAGAGGCCACGCCCTTCTAAGCCTCATTCGTTACTACCTCTTTGGAATTTTATTTTACCGACCACACCCTGTGAAAGTCTCCTCTGGCCCCGCTTCGTAATGAAATGAAATTTTTGAGGTTTGCACTAAAACACCACACCCTAAGAAATCCTCAACTGGACTTCCTTTGTGATTCCACTTAAATAGACGTTTAAATTAAGTGGCCACACCCCAAGACATCCTCTTCGAAGCCCCACTCTTTTTTAAGTCCAATTAGACTTTTGGATTGCAGGTCCACATCCTCAAAAGAACCACACCCTAAGAAACCCTCTCTATTTCTTTTTTTATTACTTTTCATATTAAGACGCCACATCCCAAGACATCCTCTTCTAAGCCTCATTCGTAATTAAATCTAATGGAACTTTACATGTTAACGCCACGCCCTGCATACCGAATAGGCTGAATTGAAAAAAAACGAATGGTGGGTGTGTTTGTGTGCTTTTCTCTGTGTGTGTGTGTGCAAGGCAGTCACATTAGCAGAAACAACGTATAACAATACACATTCTTTATACAAGAAAAGCATTTTTTGCAAAATTTGCTAAAAAAAAAACCCAAAAATCCAAAAATCCAAAAACTCAAAACCATGGAGCCGGGAGGCCGCCTTTTTTGGATTTTTTGGTTTTCTCGAGGTTTTTTTGGTTTTTTTTGGAAAAATCCAAAAAAAACCATGGTTTTTTTGGATTTTACTTGCTCCTGGCCTCAAAAACCTAAAAAACACATGTTTTTTTTTGGATTTTGAGTGAAAATCCAAAAAAACCCTCGTGTTTTTTTGGATTTCAGGTGCTCCTGGTCTCAGAAACTAAAAAAACACGAGGTTTTTTTTGGATTTTCACTCAAAATCCAAAAAAAACCATGTGTTTTTTAGGTTTTTGAGGCCAGGAGCAAGTAAAATCCAAAAAAACACATGGTTTTTTTTGGATTTTTCCAAAAAAACCAAAAAAAAACCTCGAGAAAACCAAAAAATCCAAAAAAGGCGGCCTCCCGGCTCCATGGTTTTGAATTTTTGGATTTTTGGATTTTTGGATATTTGAGGTTTGCACTAAAACACCACACCCTAAGAAATCCTCAACTGGACTTCCTTTGTGATTCCACTTAAATAGACGTTTAGATTAAGTGGCCACACCCCAAGACATCCTCTTCGAAGCCCCACTCTTTTTTAAGTCCAATTAGACTTTTGAATTGCAGGTCCACATCCTCAAAAGAACCACACCCTAAGAAACCCTCTCTATTTCTTTTTTTATTACTTTTCATATTAAGACGCCACATCCCAAGACATCCTCTTCTAAGCCTCATTCGTAATTAAATCTAATGGAACTTTACATGTTAACGCCACGCCCTGCATACCGAATAGGCTGAATTGAAAAAAAAAACGAATGGTGGGTATGTTTGTGTGCTTTTCTCTGTGTGTGTGCAAGGCAGTCACATTAGCAGAAACAACGTATAACAATACACATTCTTTATACAAGAAAAGCATTGTTTTGCAAAATTTGCTAAAAAAAAAAATAAAAAAAAAAAAAAAACCAAAAATCCAAAAATCCAAAAATTCAAAACCATGGAGCCGGGAGGCCGCCTTTTTTGGATTTTTTGGTTTTCTCGAGGTTTTTTTGGTTTTTTTTGGAAAAATCCAAAAAAACCATGGTTTTTTTTGGATTTTACTTGCTCCTGGCCTCAAAAACCTAAAAAACACATGGTTTTTTTTGGATTTTGAGTGAAAATCCAAAAAAAACCATGTGTTTTTTTAGTTTCTGAGACCAGGAGCACCTGAAATCCAAAAAAACACGAGGGTTTTTTTGGATTTTCACTCAAAATCCAAAAAAAACCATGTGTTTTTTAGGTTTTTGAGGCCAGGAGCAAGTAAAATCCAAAAAAAACCATGGTTTTTTTTGGATTTTTCCAAAAAAAAACCAAAAAAACCTCGAGAAAACCAAAAAATCCAAAAAAGGCGGCCTCCCGGCTCCATGGTTTTGAATTTTTGGATTTTTGGATTTGTGTCAAAATTTGCAAATTCTGCAAAAAAGAAGTGTTTTTTGCATACAATTCTGTGTTTATAAGCCTGTCCTATGCAAATAATTCATAGACATGTTTACCAAATTGCATTTTCCTGTGTTTTTGGGGTGTTTTTTTATGTGGTGATGTGGAAGTAGTGCTAAACACACGCGTTTTTCACTATTTACAGGTTTTCTCGCATAGGACTAGACGTGCAAAAACAGGACATCGCCTAGCATAGCCAGCATGTCATTTTAATCGGTATTTACGAGGGTTTTTATAGGGACAAAGCAAAACCTAGATCATGGGGGGGGTGGGGGGGGGGGTGACCATATATATATATATATATATGCATATATATATATATATATATATGTATATATATACATATATATATATATATTATTTGTTTATTCATTTCTAATATTTACATTATATATATACACATATCTATGTATTTATGTTTATTTGTTTAACTAATTATTTATTCATGTATTCTGTATATGTCATATCTGAAACTTGCACTGCGCAACTGTAATTCCCTTTAGGGTACATGATTCAGACACCGTTGTTTTAGGGCTAGCTTGGTCCACATGGGCTGCATTCCGAATTCGACCCAGGCCTTCCCTTCTCTCGCGGGCGCGGCTCATGAGCCTTGAGCTTTTGTTTCAACGGTTTAGGGTTTAGGGTTTAGGGTTTAGGGTTTAGGGTTTACGGTTTAGGGTTTAGGGTTGAGGGTTTAGGGTTGAGGGTTGAGGGCTTTGGGCTGGGGAATTAAGGCTTGGGGTCTGGGGTTTAGGGCTGCTTCGGGCGACGGTTTAGCTCAGGGCTCTTTGTGATCGGACCGCCTGACAACGAACGTCATTCTGCAAAGTGGCTGCCTATCACCCCCCCGACCCCCCATGGCTCCCCCCCCCCTGGTAAACACCCCTTACACCCTTGTACCCCCTTTTACACCCTGAAAACTTGGGCTACCTCTAATTCATATGCAGCTGCGGCGGAATTCGGCCGAACGTGCAGGGCGTTCGGGAACTTGGGACAAGAACCAACCTTAAACCCTACCACCCTAACGGCCGTAACACCTGCAAGGACGTGGGTCGTGAACCGCTGCATTGACGAGGTGCAAAGAGGCCTGTGCCCGGCGAGGGTGCCATAACCTCGAGGGGGGAGGAAGGGTTTATAGGGTTTAGGATTTATATACGATTTAGGGTTAGAGTTAGACCCGGGGGGGGGGGGGGGGGGGGGGCAGAAGGAAGCATGCTAAAAGGGAGCGGCTCAGGGGGGGTATCCACCCGATGATTTTGATCAACACCCTAAACCCTCAACCCTAAACCCTAAACCCTAAACCCAGGGTGCTGGGATGTGTTGGGGCTGTTGGGGGATGTGTGGGGCTTGCGGGAGCTCTTCGCGACCAGCGGCCAGCCGCTTGCCCGCCATGAAGTCGCTTCATGGGCCGCTCGCGTCCGGCGGCTGTTGCATGGAAGCCCTAAACCCTAAACCCTAAACCCTAAAGCCTGATCCTTCAAGTGGAGTAACCTTCAGGCATGGGTGCCCTCAAGCTGCCTCGTCCCTCATGCAAAGAGGGGCGGGTGTGGTGTGACTTTCAGTGTTTTGGGGTCCGGGACTGTTTCCAGTCTACATGGCTTGGAGCTTTCTAGGAGTAGCTTTGACAGTTCAGGGAGCTGGCATTCTAGTCACAGGGGCGGCTCCGGCCTAACCTTAGATCCTCCCCGCCCTAAGCTGCAAGAGCATGTGTGAATGGTGAATGGTCATCAGGGCAGCGAACACGGCTGCAGGCGGCCATGGCATGTTCCAGAGCATGTGCCTGTCCTTACTTGCGCCTTGGGTTGGGGGAGTGTTGGGCTGGGGGCTTTTGAAGGGTTTAGGGTTTAGGGTTTAGGGTTTAGGGTTTAGAAGAGACGCGGCACAAGTAGCGCCGGTAGCTACAGTATCACAAGCTGGACCACTAGAGAGTCCTAAACACGATGGCGATCTTGCGACAACTTGAGGCCCTTGGGCTGCCAAGTTAGGGTGGGGTTGGGTTTAGGGTTTAGGGTTTAGGGTTTAGGGTTTAGGGTTTAGGGTTTAGGGTTTAGGGTTTAGGGTTTAGGGTTTAGGGTTTAGGGTTTAGGGTTTAGGGTTTAGGGTTAAGGGTTTAGGGTTTCGGGTCTAGGGTCTAGGGTTTAGGGTTGAGGGTTGAGGTTGAGGGTTGAGGGTTGAGGGTTGAGGGTTGAGGGTTGAGGGTTGAGGGTTGAGGGTTGAGGGTTGAGGGTTGAGGGTTGAGGGTTGAGGGTTGAGGGTTGAGGGTTGAGGGTTCAGGGTTGAGGGTTGAGGGTTCAGGGTTGAGGGTTGAGGGTTCAGGGTTCAGGGTTTAGGGGCCCATCGGCCCAATTCTGAAGCATGGCTTATTGGGGAAGCATCTTTCTTTCATCGCCTTCGCCTGGCAATGGACGAGTCTCCTACAGGTGAAACACGGGCTGCAGAAGAATCTAGACCCAAGAGTAACACGAAGGTGTGAAGCCCTGAAAACCCTAAACCCTAATGTTCATGACCCTAGAGTGAGCTAGGAATGAAAGCGGTGCCCGTGTTGGTTTAAAGGAGCTTCTCAGGGAACCTACACCCTAAAACCCTAAACCCTACACAGGGTCAGCATGTTACCCAGCATGCCGGAAGGACTCAGGCCGCACATCATCCATCCTTGCAGGAGGGGAGTCCCTATAAGGGTCCATGTACCGGATCATTAACTTCGGCCCCAAAGTCCCTAAATGGGAAGAACTTCAAGGCCCAAGTCATCCCTATTTAGGTACGTGGACCCTTAGGGAGTGCAGAGGGCTTGGGGGCGTGGGTCTACACTGCACAAAGGGCCCAGAAACAGTGGGCGCAGAAGTGCTACCAGGTGGTGTAGACTTAAGGGATCTGTCGTGTTCAGCGCCCTAAACCCTAAACCCTAAACCCCAAACCCCAAACCCTAAACCGTCCTTCATGGCCGACTGATCCTTGATCTTGGACAGGACGGAGTTCACTTGGGTGCACACATTCCTGGCTGCGCAACAAGCATCTTCGCCGATTTGGGGGCTTCAGGGGCCTGGTTGCACACACAAGAATCCTGAACCCCAGGGGAGCGCTCCGTGACTGCTGTGAATGATACTGGTTGAACAGCATCTTGGTGGCCCAGGAACCACATTACAATAAGGGCACCCTTTTTGGGGTTGCTGACTTTTTGAAGGGAACCTTGAATCCCCCCCCCCCCCCAAAAAAAAAAAAAAAATGGGGGAAAAGGGCACCACCTGGCTACCAAGTAATGATGACGACCAGAATGAAGTGGACGCAAACCCAGCTTAGCTGGACTCTAGCTGAGACAGTCCTTGTTAGGGTTTCGGGCTTGACTGGCTGCACTCAGCAGGGAGCGTTAAGTTAAGTTTTTAGCTTGCCTTCTTAAGAAACCCAATAAACCCAAAAGGCTAAGGATCTAAAGTTACAGTAAAGACCCACAAAATTTACACAGACTCATTCTCACATAGGAGCCAGACCCAAGCATGCCCTCAGCTCGAAGGGTTGGGGGCACCAGGGCTCAGGGTTTTAGGGGGTTCTGGGGTTTAGGGCTTTGGGGTTTGGGGGGGTTTAGGGTTTAGGGTTTGGGGGTTTTAGGGTTTTAGGGGTTTCGGGGGAAAGTTTAGCCCCCCCCCCCCCCCCTTCTCCCCCAACAGCTGCAAAGGGGTGCCTGATGTGTCTGTCCCAGCCCTGCAGGTTCTCGTCTCTACCTGTGAGGCAGTCGCTGAGAAGGCTGGAAAGGTGTTTACCCCTTTGATCCGTAGCCGGGCTTCGGACCAAACCCTAAACCCTTAAACCCTAAATCCTAAACCTAAATCTAACCCTAAACCCTAAACCCTGAACCCTGACCCTAAACCCTAACCTAAACCCCAAACCCTGAACCCCCTTCGAGGGTGATGATGCCGCTCTTCTGATCAATGAAGCCCGCCAGTCGACTCTCAGCCTGCGCTTTCCGGGCAATGGAGGGCAAAATGTTCAGGGGGTTTTGGTGTTTAGGGATTTATTGTAGGGAGGGTTTAGGGTTTATTGTTTAGGGTTTAGGGTTTGGGCTTAGGGTTCAGGGGGTTTAGGGTTTAGGGCATGCTTCGCCGAGCTGCCCTGGAACCCTTACGAAAATGGTCTGGTCGAGGCCGTTTAGGGTTCATATTTAGGGTTTGGGTTTAGGGTTTTAAGGGTTTAGGGTTTAGGGTTTAGGGTTTAGGGTTTAGGGGTTAGGTTTTAGGGTTTAGGGTTTAGGGTTTAGGGTTTAGGGTTTAGGGTTTAGGGTTTAGGGTTTAGGGTTTAGGGTTTAGGGTTTAGGGTTTAGGGTTTAGGGTTTAGGGTTTAGGGTTTTGGGGTTTCGGGTATCCCCAACAGTATGTTTCAGTTCTGTGGGCGTTAGGGAACACCCTTGGGTCAGTCTCCGGATGACCAGATATAACCCTTGTGCGGACAAACCACAGCCACATACTACATGCAACATTCAGCCGTAGCATCCCCAAGCCAGCTCCATACACCACTTCTTTCTGCACCCCAAATTCCGTTGATTGCCCAGTAGCCATATTACAAAAAGGGCACCCATTTTTGGATTGGTGACTGTACAAGGGAACCTTGGACCAACAACAGTAAATAAAGGGGTACCACGGGGCTACCAAGAAACGTTAACCCTTCGCACTCATTGCTGAGTGCCCGGCGATCATCTTCGCCGCGATCTTCTCCGCACGCTCGGGCGGCACCTGCCACTGATTGAACTCCAACCCTAAACCCTAAACCCTAAACCCTAAACCCTAAACCCTAAACCCCAAACCCAAACACCCTAAGCCCTAAACCCTAAACCCCAAACCGGCATATATAGCATGGGGCCACACATCTGCAAGACATCGACACCCAGGGATGAAAGAGTGCCTCCAGTAGGTTGCCCAGCTGCGGCAGGCGCATGTTTTTGTACACCTGGAACTCTAAACCCTAAACCCTAAAACCTGGAACACTTAGGGCTTTTCGGTTGTTAATTGTCCGGTATTCTAGAGGTTCAATTTTGGATTCGAGAGGGATTAGATTGCCCCCAAGAAGGTGAAAGGCTACCTACTACTAAGGGTTCCTCAGGGGATGGGGGACGTGGATTCTTGATTTGCGGGCTTCTAGGCCCCTGACTCACGCAGCTGAGCCTTTAGACATGCTCAAGCCCGTAACCCTAAACCCTAAACCCTAAACCCTAAACCCTAAACCCTAAACCCTACACCCTAAACCCTAAACCCTAAACCCTAAACCCTAAACCCTAAACCCTAAACCCTAACCCTAAACCTTAATTATTCAGGCCCCTATTTGGGGGGACTTTGGCCCCTCATCCCAAATTCGCAGAATGAAGGTCTCGGATTCGGGACTGAAGCTTTTCAAAGGTTACAGGATTTTGCCGTTGCAGCCCTAAACCCTGACCCTAAACCCTAAACCCTAAACCCTAAACCCTAAACCCTAAACCCTGGGGGTAGTATTGTGTACTGCGTACAGGGACCATAAGGGAACTACTGGTACTTGTTCCGACCCCTAGATTCGGCTCGCAGGCTCCCGACGTCTGCACTCTCAGCTCAGCGCGCGTGAGGCAGCAAGGACGTTGTGCTGCAACCTGAAGATGATCGTCCCAGGTTTATGGGGCTCATTATTGGGGCTCTTGAATTGAACTGGTGACGCTAAGCCCTAAAACCCGAAAACCCTAAAACCCAAAAAAACCCTAAAACCCTAAAACCTTGAAACCCGAAAAGCCTAAAACCCTAAAACCCTAAAAACCCTAAACCCTAAACCCTAGACCTAAACCCTAAAAAACCCTAAAACCCGAGAACCCGAAAAGGCCCCAGACCCTCAATCAAACTCCTGACAGATGCACCGGCGGAGTACACTTGTTCCCATCACTACTATTTGCTTAAGAACCCCAACAAACAAAAAATGAACATCCCTTGTATTTCTTGGGGGTTCTTAAGCGATTAGTAGATCACGCCAGTCGTAAGGAGGCGGCACAGCTCGCTCGAGCACGGTGGCTCCATCTGGGCCGGTGGCCTCGCGGCCCCGCACATGTAAAACCTTTGAACCCTAAACCCTAAACCCTACACCCGAAACCCTAAACTCTAAACCCTGACTTATGGTTCCAAAAAAACACAAAAGAAAACATACTGCTCTTATATATGGAAGAATGTGTTTTTGTTCCTTTTTTTTTTGGGGGGGGGGGGGGTTCTTGAGCAAATGGCAGACTTTCGGACCGCCATCTTCAAACCATATCAGGCACGAGCCTGAGAGCTTAGCTGTGTCTCAAAAGATTCATGCCAAGCCCAAAATCAGGACCCTGCACCTTGAGCCTAAACGCCGCCAAAAACCTTAAGTCAAAAAACGCCCTAAAGCCCTAAAGCATCCTAAAGCCC